TGAATGTGAGAGTGAATGAATAGTGGAATTGTAAAGCGCTTTGAGGGGTCCCGAAAAGCGCCATATAAATGCAATCCATTATTATTATTATCAAAATTTGCATTAAACCCCAACTATCTATGAACATGTGTTGACTGATGTGTGACAAATCCAACCATCATCGCAACTGTGGTAACAGTTTTACACATAATTTATTTGATATGACAAAGACTGTTTTATTTCATTCAGATGTAGCCCAAGTGGCAATGGCGTCAACAGGGTCATGGTGAAGCTGGAGGTGAGAGGTGGGGTGCTCCCTTGACAGGTCACTTCTTTTTAGGTTTTAATACAAAAATAGACCTATAGCCTTGTAATGTTACCAAACTTAAGCTGGTATTCGATCATTTTTAAGCATGCGGTAAGAAAACTGCTCCATAGGCAAAACACCAGGAAGGTTGTGAGCACCAATTGGAATTCTGCACAAACGAACTTGGCCCATTTTACATTGGAAGGCAGAGGGTTGGAACAAGTTATAGGTCAGCCTGTGCCTAAGAAATCAAACAGATCTGTTGCTCTGATGTTTATCACGAACATCTTGGTATGCAACCATCTTTCCTCACTGTTGCCTTAAAACCTTGTCAGTGTGGTTAAAGAGCGAACAGGTCTGATAAAGCAATTTCTGTGTCCCTGAACTCTATTTTCCAACAGCTCTGGCATCTGTTTGTCAAACACAACTCAGCCTTTTCACATCCAGACTCTTTCACGTGGAAGTTGAACATTGTCTGCGTAAATGGTCCTTGACTTCTTGTTGGAGAGAAGCCAGGTGGTCAAAACGTAACTACAAACTAATTCACCATTAAGAATGAGGCCAAACAAGAGTGCATGTTATCCTCACTCATGCATTCGTTGTACACAAATGCAAAGTTAGCAAGACTCAGCAGGAGCCACAATGGAAAATAAGCCGGGTTGAAAATAAACTGGACTCATGCTTTAAGCTGTCATTGATATGCCACCAGCTATATCACGCATCCACCATCCTTCTGTACTGATTTGTCTTTGTGTTTCGCACAAATACCCTACATTTGTGCTAAACATATACTACATTTACATAATAATATATTCTACGAGTGGGCTCCTATTTATAAATGCCACAATAAATCTATTCAAAACAAGCATTCAGACAGAAAATCACATTTGTTATATCATCATCATCCCTCTTTTCCTTCTGCAATTAAAATTTAAATACATTTATTTTATGTTTGATGTTCAGATGCTTTTCCAAAACTTTAAAGAATCGCCGCAGATGTTAAATCAATTTAATATTTAATATGAAGTTTCCATAATAAATGTAGCTGATTAAAAACAAATATTTAAAAGAAACATAAACAACCAGTGATAATCAAAATTTCTGAAATTCCAAGTATGCAATTATTTTTCATCTGACGGAAACTCTTTTTATTTAAAGCAGTGGACTCTCTTGATCCACAGTGTAGAGGTGGGCACAGGACGCTGCTTTTCATTTTCTAATCAAATGCAAAAAATAGAAAAAGACACGTAGGTTTATGCTTTAATCTTAAAAAGTACTTTAGGAAAAGGTGAGAAAAAAAGGAAATCCTTACACACATTCAGGATTATATGTGATCTGATTGACACCAGGGGTGGGTACACATCACAAATCACACACCAGTGTTAATTCATAGCTTGCCTGATTTTAGCATATTAGAGGGGTTATGTCTGTCAGAGCATATCTTAACCAAATTAGTTTTACTTTTATGCCCAGCTTGGCCACAGTAGTTCAAAATCTGTTTCATAAAATATGGTTATAGTCACATCTTTAGTGCCTTTAGTTGAGGGAAAAAAACACCTCAGTATTGTGTCTTTTTATTTTCACTTACATGATCCATTATTTTCAGCCAATACATGACGAACTGTGCGTATATAGTATTAAAATTAGTATCATGCTTCTTTCTTTGATTCTATATTCATACAGTTTTCTGATGTAGTGACCTTAAACCAGTGATTGCGAATGAAAGTTTGCTACACTCTGTGCTGTGGTTTATTAATATTAGCCGCCAGCACTTTTTAAACACACCTACAGAGAGGCCACAAGTGCTCTGATCATTTCAATCTCCTGCTGTAGCTTCAGCCTTTATTCTATTATGAACAGAGTTGTGCAGGGGCATGGCTACGGCCAGATAACATGGCGCCAGATCTTCAGAATGTACTTGAATTTTACAAAATAATACATAAATAAAAGTTACATGATTTATATGCATCCAATTTATTTACTTGTCCAACTTGATGGTCGTGGAATAGCTGAAGTATATCCCAAGCTGTTACAGGGTGAGATGTAGAACTCCTGTCCATCACAGGACTAGCATAGAGAGACAATCACTCACACGCAAAGATCCACGCACATTAAGACTAACCAGTTAACCCAGCATGCGTGCCTCTCAGACCATGCTAACCTAAGTCAGCTCACCGTGATTAATGTCTAACAAAAGAAAAAAAATGGCCTTTCTCAAAAAATACGCTCAAAAAGTAAAAAGTGTGCTACTTTATTCTATATAGACAAGCTAATGGAGTTATTTCCATGTTTAATTCAGTTCAAATATTGTTTCACACACGTATATTACAGAATAAAAGCAAGAAATAAGGAAACCTGGGTTAAATAACCAGACCTGATCTGAATCTGATAAAAAAAAAAGCTAATTAAATCTTTAAGTTTAACTGCTAATCTCCCATCATGTTGTTCCTACTGGCTTAAGGCTGGATGGCCTCCACAGGCCCTTTGATGATGTCTCCCCTCCAGGAGAGAGAGATGTGACGATCGGAGATATTAGAGAGACGGTATCCTGCTGTTTCCCCTCTTCACTCCCAGAATAACAAGGAATATCTTGGTTCAGTGGCCAGCAACTGCTGAAGGGCATGCTGTCCACAGTCCCTCAGAGACACCGACGCTGTGTGTGAAAGATTGTGAGACTGGTACAGCACATCAACAGAGAGAAAAGCAGACCTCAGACCCAGTGTCAACTCTTTGAATCCACCTGTTTTTACGCAGTGTTTGAGCATCTATATCCAACTAAAGCAGGCCGTGTCCAAAACATCAGATGACATCAGCCAGTATATAAGCCGATAAATAAAAATGAAAAATTAAAGAAATGGGAGAAACACACATTATGTAATTTATCCACCAGAGGACAGTTATGGACAGATCCAGCTTATCCATGCAGAGTCAGGCAGATTGGACAAAGTAATCCACGACTACCTGTGATAAGAAAACAATGCTTTTAAACAGCATTGTCACATTGTTTTTTCTACCTTTTTCTCTAGCATGACACTACAAAAACATTCAAACCACCATAAAAATGCTAGTAACAGTCTTGTTAGCATAAATGTCTCATGAAGTGAAGTCAAGTGTTGAATATTTCCATCACTAGTTTTGGAGCTTCAGTGGTGTTTTGACAAAATTTAAAATTATATGTGCAAAGTTCAATTTGTAACAAATCCCACAACCTTTATTTTTGTCATTTCCTTCCACGACCAGCATCTTAACTTGTTTTACATTTGTGAGTAGACTTTTGATTTTATTTTTTTACTCTAATTAGAGTTTGGCAGATATGTCAGATAGAACCGAGGTCCGCTACTTCATCATAACTTATTGAATCTTCCCTTCCTTCCATCCATCCGTCCATTTGGACAGTGGGAGGAAGCCGTCCAAAGACATGGGAATGAATCTTCCCATTGCACTAAAATTTCTTCTGAAAGGTGGCACTTTCACCTTTGTACTTGTCTTAGATGTCAAGCATGCCGAGAACCTAAAACCAGAAAGGGAGGTCAGTAATGTGTTTTTAATTTTTAAAAAGTGACGTTAATTAGACCAAAGCTTCTGTGAACATTTTCAGCTTTTTGTTAAAAAAGCTGGTATTGATTATTTGTATTTTTCTACTGTCTAAGCTCTACTTGCTACCAAGACAAAGTGAAGCAATTGAATTTATGCAGTCATTTAATTCTCTGCTCTCTTTGAATCAGTCCCTCTTTGTCACCTCACCACCCACCCAGAGATAATTCAATAACCTCTGCAAATGAGCTGTGTGCGTGTGTGTGCGCGCGTGCGTGTGTGTGCACATGTACATCCTTAGCTGCCAATTTCAGGTCAATCAGAGGTGATAATAATAATCATTACTCCAATTATTACATTTAGAAGACATGACTCACAGAATGATTATCTGTTTCTGCTGAGGTGGTTGGTGTCTCTCTGTGTGTGTTTGTGTGTCATAGGTCCCATGTTATAATAGTGTCACTCTACTCTGCCATGTCGCACTTCTGGAGTAGCTTCAGAGAGAGCAGATGTGTGTGTTTAGCCTCTGATGTATAAGGCTCCAACCCCTAGCATGCACTCAAGGGCTACTGGGTTATTATGTTGACTCTGTGTCTCTGCTCCCAGCATGCATCTGGCATAGACAATAACAACAAAGCAGACATTTAGTGTGACTAACAGAGGGGCTATTGCATATTATGCTGTGAATTGTGAGCGTGTGTTTGTGTTTGCGCGTGTTGTGAGTGAGGGCACAGATGAAGTGATCAAGTCGACAGCTTGCCGAGCTGTGATTGTCACTGATCCCCCCCTCTGTCCTCGGGAAAAACAGTGCCATCTGCCACGGGGCACAGGCAATGCCAGCTTGGCACTCCCCACCCAGACTAAACTAGAGAGGGCAGGGGAGCTAGAAACAATTTAATGTAGGATACAAGGTTTCTGTGTGACTGTGTGTTTTTGTGAGTATATACTTAAGGGGGTTTACATGAGATGATTATGCTTCCCACATGTTTTTGGAAGTATAGATGAGTGCATCCTAACTTTCTGGTATAAGTTTTTTCAAGTTACTGGTTTGGAGCAGACAGTTTAATTATTAACAAAGAATAAATAAACTGGCTTTTTATGAAGACGTAGAGTCAGTTTGCTTCTTATGTGTTTTTGAAACATATATATATGTAAATACAGAGTTTTTTGTTTGCATCTTTACAGTTTAAAGCTCATCTGTATCATTATGTCATTCCCTGCTACAGGTCCTCCAACACCACCATGCTGTCCATGAGATCTCTTACATTGCCAAGGACATCACGGACCACCGAGCCTTTGGCTATGTCTGCGGAAAAGAAGGGAACCACCGCTTTGTGGCTATCAAAACCGCGCAGTCGGTTAGTATTTATGTACATTCAGTCCAATAAGCGGAAAATGAACCCAAACCCCACCTTTCACCTTCACCATTTTCCGAGCTCTTCCGACATTTACATTTGGAAATATCTAAACTAGTGCTGTCAGCGTTACTCTCGTTAAAATGACGTGAATGGGGCTGGACAGCGCTAACGCGTTAGCGAGCTAACCGCGCTAATGCGTTGATGCCTTGCAGCCCCACGCACGGGGCGATCAGCACTAAGTCGCTAACAGAGATTTGCCGCGTTAATGCAGTTATGGCGTTAATGTCATTTTAATGAGATTAACGCTGACAGCACTAATCTAAACATAGTAAATAAGAGATGCTGGCCAGTGCTCATGTTACAGTCCTACTCCACTGTTATAGCTTGAAGTCTTTGGCGCTTCTGAACTGTTGGTCACGTCTAACGTCATGATTTAGATTTTCTAAAACTGAAAACAGAGCCCAGAGGATGTTCAGTATAGTTTCCTCTCACCCCGCATGAATAACAATATGGTATTTTATGGATTTTTCATCCAACGACACAAAAACACGTTGTGTAGCCCAGCTCTCTTTGTGTTTAGGTTAATTTATGATTCATCAGGCTCTTTGCTCAGTAACATGAACCTCTTGACATTTAGATAAGGACCCTTGAATACCAGCTCATGTCGCTTTGTGCTGTTCATCAAACAAACTGTTTACCGAGTAGATCTGCAGCTTTAGGTTTTGTGTGTCCAGAACAGCGCAGCTTCAGTTCTGCGTCGGCATACTCTATATAATATTGAGTACTTCTTTCAGACCTTTTATGATTGTTGCTGCTGTTGTTGTATGCGCCTGGCTTGTTTCGTCTGGATTCAGCTGGCTCTCTCTGTAGCCATATTGATTTCCCATAGTGAGTCGATGAGGGTTTGAGTGTGTGTCACCAGCTCTAATGGCATATCCATCCTCCTAGGGCCATGAACCGTGGCTCTTTGACTGAGACAGATATGCGCCAGTCTGCACTCACAAATACAGCAGCCGCATTTCCATTAAAAAACAGTTGTTCAGAAAATGTTACCCTGCGTAACAGTGAAGCACAACGGTAAGTTCTCATCCGTCAGCTACGCTGCCTTTTGCCTGATGTGTGCCTGAGGAAAGGTCATAATTATATTTTACTTCCATTTTCAGGATTTGAACCAGCCATCACTAACGCTCAGACTATTAGTTGTGGAGCAGACAATAAGAGGGATGGAGGCACAGAGCTCATGGCCGAGGCTGTAATTGGAAAGTAACTGCTTTGATGTGAATTAACAAAGTGTCTCTGTTGTCATGAAGACTAAGACTTAAAGATGTTCCGAACAGGCCAATTTAAGGTCGCGTTCAAAAGTAATTGGCTTACCACTCAAATCAAAGTCTCAGGACAAGAAAGACATGTTTTATTTAGCCAGTTTTAGTGAAGATAGCAAGACTCTAATTGTGAATAGAGGATTGTCAGTCATTGTTATAACTTTTCTAAAAAAGTTGCAGCTGTAATTAGCATGACTCGCTTTGTTGTTTCAAAACCAAGGTTTCAATTTGTAGAGAGGCTACAGAGAGTTCAAATGTAGTTTAATGTATTACATTATTTATGACACAGTAACAGATTTAGCCAGTAAATCCTTTATATACTAAAGTTAACAACATGAGTCTTTTTCTCCAAGTAGTCCACTTTTACACATCCTCATTTTTATTTTTCTGATCATTTTTCTAATGCACATGCTTCCTCATGTAAATTCTCCTAAAGGTTTTCAACATGACTTCCAGATTTAACGATTTTCTGAATTTCATACGACAGAAATGTAAGAAATCCCTAATTGAATTGAATTTAGACAAGACAGGTTTAAAAAAAAATCAGTGCACCAAGAAATACGTTCAGGAATATCCTCAAGATATTCCGCTAACAACCAACAGCAGAATTTAATTTGGGCAATGAGAGTGAATCTCTTGCATTAATATTTAGTAGAATTGGAGACTCATCTTCTGCTCTAAAATCCTGATCCGGGCAGATTTTATTAGAACTGTGTCTGCAGTAAAAGTCTTTATCGTTACTTTTTGTTGGAATCATTTATCAGGTTTGCCGTAGGCTATGAATTAGTCATCTGTGCTGAACTGAGGTTATCTCATCTCTCTGGTCCTATGAGCAGGCCACTCCTCCTCAAAGTTTTCTGCATGAGCACTTTTAGAATTCAGTGATTTTCTCTGCTCACTCTCTTTTCATACCTTGAGGTTTTGATCGAGGAAAAGCAAAAAAGAATGGGAGAGAAATCACAAGAGAAAGTGAGGATCAGAGCAAGTATTGTCAAATGTAAAACGGATCTGAATTTAAAAGAGTGACAGTACGTTTCAGTGTTGGCTCAGCAGGAGAGAAGTTTACCCCAGCGTGTATGTCATGTGCCTTATTCGGCTCAGGATATCTTGCAGAACGCCAACACTAAAATAGAACTACATTTTGCACAACATTCAGTCTATGAACTCTGGCTGCACTTCGCATAGCTCCAGTCAATAATTGATTGGCTTTGAAAGACCGTTGCGCTATAAGACTCTTTGTTATTGCGCTGTGACAGTAGTTATAGGTTGTGAGTCATCTCACTGGTTTGTTGTCACCACTTTTGTTCATTCGAGGAAAGAGGTACAAAGGTAACACAAGGCTACAATTTTTGCTGCGTGAAGCAATAGATCATGCAGTGACTGTGACTTCACCTACTGCCCGTTTCCATGAAAGTGTGCAGACAGCAATGTCTTAAACATACTTACGTGTTCTGAGTTACGTCACTTACGCCTCAAGGTCAGTGTTTAATTACTTGAAGTGGCACAGAAAAAAAGACTTTTTTTTGGCATCCTTCCCACTGTCGCCAAAGCACTTGCTCATAGCGGTTCATATGATTGTTGAGGTTTCCTCTGTTGTATTATTGTAGGGTCCACCTTACAATATAAAGCGCCTTGAGGCGACTGTTAGAGGTGGGCGGAACAATCCAAATATCGATAGTGTCGATACCAACTCTGGCATTGGTATCGGATCGATACTAGCCAAATAGGATCGATACTTTGTTTCAGTAAGTAGCCCACTGAATTATGTTAAATTATAGATTTGGGGGGAATTAAACAATACACCTCAAACGCGCACTATGAAACATGTCAAACAACAGAATTTGACCCAAAACGCTTTAGAGAAGTTGGAAGATGTGTTTTGTTGTGATAGCTAAGTATTATAGAACGTAAAAATCCGAGTGAGTTAGTTGTGATGAGCCGTCGCTTAAGTCATCACACAATGTCTCCCAAACATAAGCTGCCTTTACAGGTTAAAAGTATCGGTACTGGTATCAGCACTTGGTTTACTTGGTATCGGATCGATACTAAAATCTGCACAAAACAGCACTAGTGACTGATGTTGTGATGAACAAAATTGAATTACATTTTTTCTTATTTTTATACTGTGAATAGATTCCTGAAAAGCTAGAGAATTTGTCTTTCTTCTGTTACAATTTTATTTGGGCAATTTAAATTATGAGGGTGTATTCTGCTGGATCAGCTTTCTGTAGGCAGAAGTTGAAGTATAATCAAAGAAGAGCACTTTGTGTAATACATCTTTGAGAATGAAAACTTGTCAGATCCTGTACAGCAGTTTCTAATGCCTATTCTTTTTTTTCTTTTCTTTTTTATCTCTACTATGTATCTACAGAATTACAAGTTAAATCTACAAGGAGCATTTAAAATGTTGCACGACTCTGTAAAATGCAAAGAAACTTGATTTTTATCCTAGATGACTTCTCCTTTTAAGTTAAATCACTCTATGGTCATGTTCTAATCAGTTGTGCTTGTTTTCCTGCAATGCATACTGGATGTCCTCTAGTGTCTAGAAGTGGTGGCCCTTTGATAAGTGTTGGGGAACCACATCTAATTAGTTGGCACCACAATTCAGGTGTTTCCGGTGAGTGTTGTCCCTCACATGGTTCAAGACATTACAGCAGAGCCTCACTCTGGAGGATTACTTCAGAGTGCACAACCCTGTGAAGGTAAAAAGCAGAACCTGCTCTTGGTCACACTCCTGACTGATGTGCTTTCTTCCACCTTTTACTCCAGAAACAGCTGTTCTGTGTTTGGGTCAGAGTCAGCGATCAAGCTCTCTTAATGGGTTATGTCAAACTCACTCACATCTTCACGGAAAGCTTCATAACTCAAAAAGAAAGCTCAGTAGAGACACAGAACAGGCCTCTTCTCTGTGCATGTTTGTCAAATTGCAAATGCAAATCTGAAAAACTTGCAAGGGTAATGATCAGAATCACCTTTACTTGTCTTAAAAGTCAGAATATACTAAAAAAAAGTTGAAGAGAAATGTGCATTTGTTAGAATTTAAAGCAGGGTGTGCGATAAAGTGTCACAGTGAGATGGGGCAGATTAAATGTTTTGGCCTGAGGCCTCTGCATCATTAAAGTGAATGAGGTGGTATCTTTTTCCGCACTGTTCATGTCAGTCTGATCATGGCCTTAAACTCCTGCCGTGAAGTTGGGCAGGGAAATTAATCACCACATAACCAGAATGAACATGCAGTTCTTGAGTTCTGATCGGTGTTGTGCTCCTGTTAATGCGTGTGCCTGTGGTAATGGTTGGATAATGTGTCCTCGTCCTAGGCTGAACCTGTGATTCTGGACCTGCGGGACTTGTTCCAGCTCATCTATGACATAAAGCAGAGAGAGGAGAAGGAGAAGAAGGCCCAAAAAGACAAGCAGTGTGAGCAGGCGGTGTACCAGGTACTCTTCTCAACTCTCTGGTAGTTTTTTCTTTTAAACAATTTCCTTAATCATCTGCCATAAGTATGATGAGGTTCATGTGAGAGACTCTTGACAGATGAGTCAGGTAAGACTTAAAAAAACATCAAAGAGTAACATACGGAGCACCCACTTTCAGGTTTCATCAGTGGTACCATCTGCCCATTGTGCTTATTTCACCTTCCTCTGTTCTGTCTTCTGTACGTCTCCTGTTTAATTTTCTCTTTATCTCTCTGTCTCGCTCTCTCTGATGATTGCCAAATGATTATCTGAATGCTGGGAAGCCGCTATGTCTCGCTGTGCTTTCCGCCTACTCTCTCTACTTCACCGGCTTAACTCTCCGCCTCTTCCCTCTCTTCTGTCTTCTCACCCCTGCTCCTCTCTCCTCCCCGTTTGATCTCTCCCTCTCTTTCCCGCTGCCGCCGCTCATCCGCAGACAATACTGGAGGAGGATCTGGAGGACCCTGTCTACCAGGTAACTTCTTGACCAATGCCATTGCTGCTGTCACCTGCTGCATTTCTAGCCAGTCAGCTTGCTCCTCTGTGTGTGCACTGTGGGGAGACAGCTCCTGTTTGGGTAGATCTTCGTAATAAGCACAACACACGCTGTTTAGGGGTTTGCCGATGTATACAAAGAGCCAGTAGGAAACACTCATATCTGTGTGTTCATGAGTTTGTAGCTGTGCGTGCATGATTAGCTGAGAGATGTGTTTGTTTTCTCAGTTGCTCTGGGTATTTATTACTGCTTAAAGCCTCCTCCGTGTGTCACTGGGATCTCTTCTTCAACTGCTTTTTAATGAGAACCTATTGACAATGCTGTTTGACTAATCACCTCTGCAGTTTTCTCTCAGTTTCTTTATCTTCCAATTTCCTTCCTGCTTCTTTTTTCCCCCTCTCTTTCCCGTGCTGCTGACGTTGTAGTACATTGTGTTTGAGGCGGGACACGAGCCCATCCGTGACCAATCAGAAGAGAGCATTTATCAGGTACCCACAAGCTCATCTTGTTTGCTTGTGTCTTATGTAGCTTTAAACTACAGTTACTGTGGTTAATCTGCTGACAGGGAGTTCCTAAAAGCGTTTAAGCTACAGAGATTTAATCACCTATTTACTGTCCAATCGGTACAAGCTGCATTACTCTTTAATGGGATAAATATACTGTGGCCTGCTCATAGAATTAATTGCTGTTTTTACACATGAAAACAGCAATTGTAGATACAGGAAATAAAGACTTTAAGAATCTGAGGCAAACAACCAGCCAACACTCTCCAGAGGGCCCTGATAGCTAAAGCCAGCTACTCCTTGGAGATGAGGCTTTCTCTGGGTGCACTCCTCAGAGATGTGGGTAGACCTCCGAGGGATAAAGAGGGGGAGGGTTGGGTGCGCGTGGAGGGGATGTGGAGGTTATTCCTGTTGTGTGTGTGGAAGGAAGACCCCTCCTCTTTTTCTCGCCTCCCCTCCCTCTTTTCCCAAGAAGATGAAAGAAAGCGGGGGAAAGAAAGATTAATCACCAGCCTCTCGTTTGATCTTTAAATAAAATGGATTGAAATAGAGGGAGCGCTGGCGCGTGCACAATCGTACGCAAACAAATACACGTACAAACAAACCCCCCCACACACACACACATCATGCGTAAAAAACGTGCGGCTCAGCCAGCCTCCAGCCACAGAGGAACTAATGTATGAATAAAGATGGCAGCTTCTGGAAATAAACATGTGAAAGAAGTAAACAAGGCATTGAAAGGAGGAGAAAGAATGGGACAGGCTGTGCTAGATAGATATCCACATTTTTCCTCTGTGCTATTTTATGTTTTTTCATTTACCACTCTGATTAGAGCACATCCAGCTGGGGAAGAATAAAACTTTGTTTCAACCCTCGTGCCACTGCAGGAGAAATCAAACCATAGGAATCTCAGGATTCATACATATCGGCATTTTGCTATCGCTGCTCATTGTTTCTTCTCATTACACACAGACTCAGATCTATCTGACTGTGTGACATAGAAATATTACATGTCTCCATGTGTGTGACAATGTGAGTTATTACATGTCTGTGGATGTGATAAGCTGCCTTATCCATTCTTTATTAGAGAGAGAGAGAGACCGTCGCCACAGGCTGATAGTCTTCTGATTAACCTAGTAAATGAGTTCTCACTCAAAAGATTTTAATTCTGATTATCCCTGCACACACACAAACACTTTACTAGTGATTGATATGATTCCAGGAGAGGCAGGTCACAGGGTTTTGTGTTGGCATCCAGTTTGTCGCAGTGCTGGAACAGTGATGAAGTGTAAAGTTTTATTGCTTAATTACTCCAGAGGTAACAGGCTCTCTTGGCTGTTCTCTGAATCTATTGGTCGATTGTATAGGTTCCCACCAGTCAGCAGAAGGAAGGGGTCTATGACGTCCCAAAGCGACACCCAGTGAGTGACCGTGTGTATGCCCGTGCCCGACCTCCCACCCCCCTCAGCCTGCCTCCCCCTCTCAGACAAACCTCTCAGCCGTCCCACGTGTTACTCGACGTGGAAAGCCTCTCTGCTTCGGCGCTCTCCCATCATGCGGTCATGTGGAAGCTCTAATTTCGCATTTTTATTCTACTTCCTTTTAATATATCTCCCACACAGTGATCAGTATGTCTAATTTTCCCCTGAGAGGTTTGCTGGGATCCAGTGCCTCATGCAGTGTGCTGTGCTATTGTACTGCTTGTGCTGTAGTTATGGTGGCTGGTGCCGTTCTCCTCGTGCCCCGTGGTGCCTGCTCCTTATGGTTAACTGGGATAATTTGTGTGTTTGGATGTTTGTGTCATGTCAGCTTTCTCAGTGAAGCATGCTTGGCTGTGGTTTGGCCAGTCATGAAGCTTGCATGATGTTATCCCAGACTGCACTGATCACGTATTTTGTCACTGTTATATTTTCGTGAAAAATTATGTTATTACATCTGACTGTAAATGTGCATGACATCATATATTTAAAATATACTTGAGCAGTTTTTCACCATGTCTGTGCCTTTTGAATGAATGTTTGCAGTGGAAATCTGTATTCCTGTTTGCGTGTGTACATGCAAGCCTCTGTTCACACTGCCAGTAGTTATAATGAAAGATGACCTTGACCACTGTCAGGCTGTGCTATACCTCAGCTGCTCTTTATCTGCCCATAAAGATGGAAGTTATATTGCGGCCTGATTTAATCTACTAAAATCTTCACACTCACAATAATCAAGCTGTTGATCTGCTGGTGTGTGTTTTGGTTTATGAGTATTTGAGCTTATATTATTTGAACACACACTCCCATTTAGCTCTAATTATTTTGTAGAGCTCACCACCAGTGCCTGCAATCTCTTTGTGTATTCCACTGCTGTAATAGATCGCTAAACTGGACTCCTCAACGTCACTACTGGCAGTGACGATCTCACTCTGAATTTTGGTAGTCTTGAAATCAGTCTCGCAGTTTTCTGGCTGTATATTATCCCCAGATTTAGTAAGAAGCTTACAGGCACCATAGTATTTTCTGTTCTCTCCTCACCCAGCCCACAACACATGCTGTTATTTGGATTGCCTTCGTGTTGGCAGGTGTCTGAACGTGAACAAATCCAATATTTCTCTCTTGTTGTGCAACCAATTGGGCTAGTCAGTCCATTGTGGCTTAAATAAAGCAGATTCAAGTCTTTTCTGCTTCCCAGTCAGTTGGAATGTGAGCATAGATCACAGAAATATAAATGGACCAGAGAATTTTTTTTAAATTTCCTTTGTGGCAGACAACTTGTAGGGTAATTTGCAGATACTTTCATTTAAATTAAAAATAAAATCCGGGCATCAAAGGGCTAAAAAGTGCTGCTGCGCTGATCTCTCTGTGGATTAAATGTTTCGAGCATGTTGCTCTTCAGTCAGTAGTGTGACACCAGAAGTCAAACTCTAGCCATCTTATCATATTGTAAATATATGCACACACCTGATGTCCAAGTAAGGTTTATTAATACAGCACTTTTAAGACATTAAGGTGTTAAAAACACAGTCAGAATGAACACATCTGAATCAAGTAACACACACAAAAACATGACCCTGTCTGAATATGATTTTTTAAAAGAATATCACAGAGTTAAGGGTGCAAATTGAGAGAAGTAAGCTGTTCCACAGGTTTGGAGTTTACAGCTCTCATTAGTTTTCAGACGGGTGCGTGGAATCATAAAAAAAAATCTCTACCTGTGGATCTAAAGATCCAGTTTGGTAAATTTGGAGTTATTATGGTGAAAGGAATTTAAGGGAAATTTTATGGTTATATGAAGTGACAACTTGGTTTTCAGTGTTGCTAAAATAAAGTTGAAATAAAGTGTAAACATAGATATTAGGATGTAATCTTCCTATTCTGCTGTCTATAGCAGAAATGTTGGTAGCCGAGTGACCAGACACAGCAGCAGGTTTGTTATTTGTAGTGGATTCAATATTTATTTTATTGACAATAGAAATTCACCGTCCTCTCAGAGGGACTGACAGTAGACAACAGCGCAACATGACATCGATGTACACAGTACACCTAGATGAAATGATCTCATCGGCTGAAATGTGACCTCCTGTCTAAAGCAGTCTCTTCTCTTGTTTAATCTGTCACCGTCTTAAATGATGGCAAATCAATAAAACACACACACACACGCACACATAGAGCGATTCCAATCTACTGAGCCGTTGACCCTCTGGGACCTGAGCGAGTCTGTTGAATCAACAGCAGCCCTCAACACCTTAGAGTTCACATGCAGAGGTCAGTGTATTTCCACCACACATCATGGCCAACTCAAACACTGTACTACCTTAATAGAATATGACTGTAGAGTGCTTATAAAAGATGAACAAGTGATTACTTGGTGACTTATTAGTAAAACACAAAATTGCCCTTAATAAAACTGAAGTGCAGACTTTGTGCTGTTTGTATGTTAAGCACACAGAAAGGCATATTATTTGTGAGGTAATTGCAGTTATTATGAAGGGGGAAATGAGTGATAGAAACCCGAAGTAGAAGGCTGTGAATGTGTTTATTTTATTTTTATTTTATGGACTTTAAGGAGATTGACTCACTTTGGTATCAACCTGAATTGGAAAGTTGCAGAACTGCAGATATTGGCACTCCTGCGTTGGCTTCAGTAGCATGATCAGTGACATCATCACAAATATTTAGCTTGTTGTTGATTTTGTGGCATTTGGAACAAGTATTCCCAACAGGGAAGATGATGGAAAAACTATCCAATGGCAACACTCATAACACGGTTGATTCTCTGCCTTCTTTATTTATATATCACCAAACAACTGATACTGGCATACATATTGGTCGGGCTCTATAAATTACATTGTGTGTGTTTGCGTGTGTTTGTGTGTGTGGTGGCCTGTGAGACAGAAAGGGAGAAAAAGAGCTCTAAAAATTAGTTATTGTTATCCATCGTGTGTCCGGTTGTGTTATGAGTTTCGTTGTATGTGTGTGGCTTTGCGTGTGGCAGGTCAGCAGGGTGTTTTTTTGGTGCGTGCCAATGTGATCAGTCACACGGCAGGGGATCAGCAAGGTGGTGTTAATTAAAGGGGATGCGTTAATTGTATGCAGAACACATGTGCACAGGTAATTACTGTTTCCCTAGAGACGGCTAATTGATAGGTGGCGGCAGTACTGATAAAGATAAAGGGCCAGGCAAAGGGATGGCGCGAGTGTATAATGGGCGCAGAGGGATAATTGGCAGGGCAAAAGAGAGAGAGGGTTGGTCAGACTGGGAAAGTGAAGGAAGAAAGATGGAGAGAAATAGGCAGCAGCAGAGTGGAGCTTTAAGTGATGAACACAGCAGATCCTGCATGATTTAAAATATGCTCCACCCATCCAAAAAACATCAGATGGATTAAAATTTAGATTTTTAATAAAAATGAATATGGTTAGTATTGAGCAATCTGTTATTGTTCTTTTCACTGTCAACTAATGCTGGCCATACCTCGTGCTTTCCTGCAACAAAAATAATACATTCACGATTGCTGTCATTCAGTGAATACTATAGCTTTGTCTGACCAATCTGTCATTTTTTAGTGCCAGTGTTTCGTGAAAGGAACCGCAAAGCCCGTCACTGTGCTGTAGCCTACAAAGTTGTTTTGTGCAATCAGATTGGAGTGCAAAATACATGGGAGTAGTGTGTTGGTATGACCCTTTCACATGTCTTCTTTTCCCCGGCTATAGGTTTTTAATGGCAAATGGGCTTTTTCCAATTATGTACTCCCTCACTGTGCTCTCACATGAAGCATGTTAGTTAAACCAGCTCTGTTTTCTATGTCTGCCTGCTTGTCAGTCTCATACTGTGGTTCCTGACGCATGGGAGCAGGCTTTACAGAAACACAAATAGGGTTTAAACCCCAGCTCAGTGCTGTAGTTTAGACAAAAGGTAGGGATGATCTTTAAACCTCTTTAAATCTTCACTTGGTCTAAGTCAGACAAGAAGAACACTGTTCTGCGACTGTGTGTGTGCGTGTGTGTGTGCGTGTGTGTGTGCGCGTGCCGTGCGTGCGTGCGTGTGTGTGTGTGTGTGTGCATCACTAGAACACCTGCAATCCATCATGTTCCTCTCTTTAAAGAGACTCATTCCACCTCCCTCTGTCCTCCTCTTTCTCTCAGCGTGTATGAAAGATAACTAACATGTTTGTGTGCGAGAACATTTTCATCCCACCTGCCATCTAACTCTGGGGTTGTGATTGCAGAATGCACATAAAAGAAAACCCCGCCACCACCACCACCACCATCATCAACATCATCATTCTCATGAACAACCCTTTCACCGAGAACAAACTGAACAGCAGCAGCAGTCGCAGTCAGGGGCACACATGATAGACTTAGACCTGGATATGGTGACTCAGGTAAGTTGTTACAGCATACTAACATGCACTGTGTAGTTCAAACTAATGCAATGTTCAAAGCTCTAAACGGGGAACATACTGTCCTGAGCGTTAGTTGCCGTGAACTACTCTTTAGTCGCGTCCTCAGATGATCTTTGGTGTTCGCATCCTCGTCTGTACCTCCAACTCTGTTCTTCTGTAGTCATAAGTGACCCCAACTCTTAACCTCTGTCATTTATGAATAAAACATGCAACCTTGTTGTTGCCATAGTAACCAGGTTCAGGCAGGAGTAAAGTCAAGAGCCGCACGGGTGCACCCATGCATCCACGCCACCGTGGTGTCCATGTGTGAAAGAGGACAAGCCAATGTAATAGAGAGAAAAACTCTCACTTAGCTCAGAGCGGAGGTCCTTTAAGGGCGGAGTAGACGTAAAGGTCAGAGTGTCTGTCAGAGAACTGGTGTGGGGGTCAGCGGGGTTAGCCGACAGCAGCGGTCATCGCGGCTCCGAGCACATTAATAAAGAATTCATAACACTATGATAATCACAGCAACCTGACCTCACCAACCCGCCGCCGGACACGTAAAGAATATTGAGCGAATGGAAACTGGACAGAAGGTCTATAAATATTCAACTTCCTGTGCTGTTTGAACACTCTCTGCAGCACATTTTCCCCGTGCATGTGGTTTCACATTAAAGAACATCAGCACGAGCTCTGTCAGTGACGAATGATTCATTGATGAACGCCAGAGGAAATTTATTGTAAAGTTAGAAAAACTCTTAAAATGTGTTCTGTGAGTGGAAATCCGTTTATCAGTGCCTGTGAATGCACTACTTTGTCTATCTTGGATATCTGGCTTATCTTGTTGATTCCATTTTGTCTGAACTCTGCTGCAGCAGTAGTGTATATTACAACTTCCTATCCCTCTTAGTAAAAAAAAAAGCCTTCTAGACTCATAATGTAAAACACCATGCTCACAGATCCATTTTCTGATACGTGTAAAAAGAACTTTGTGGTCTATGCGTGACCCAGGAGAGTGAACAAAGGGGAAGATATTCTAAGAACATTCATTATCTCTAAAGAATTTATCTGCATCCATGATTTATGCTAATCTCTGACCATGTGTTCAAGGCTTAAATTCCTTTATCAACTAAAAATAGACTATCCTTCACTTGCCACCAGCCTAAAGATATTAATAATGTGCAGAAAAAAGAGGCAGATACTAAAGCGAAGGATCATGTGAAACTGTGAAAGGAAACAGAGCGGTACAGAACCAATCCGGATTGAATACAAAGGCTGCTGTCTCAGATAGTTATTCCCTCTGGGACATACCACATATCTTCCACAAGAAGGAAACATTAATGACATATCCAAAAGACGACGCTGCTACAATAATGATGCTAGAGGGTGTGGTAGTCTGCTTTTAGATCCACTGATGGAAAGAATCTTTATCTGAAGCAGATGTCAAAGATTGTAATAACTCCTGGTAGGTATGCCATCATAATCAATCATTTCATCTCATTATCCCATCTCTCCACACCCCTCTTTTACCTCTTCTGTTGCTGCCAAAGTCCTCAGGTAGGTAACTCTAACATACCGAGCTAATGTCGCGTTGCATGCAGTGTATGATGCACGTTGCACTGGAATGTAGAGCGATTCAGAAATTGCATGTAGTCTAATATTCCCGCGATCGTGCCTGACTGCTATTATGCACTTTCTCTAATTCTCAGAATATCAACCAATTAGAGATTTTTGGAGACATGTCTACGCCTCCTGACATCACCTCTCCATCTGTGAGTAGCCGTTATACATACACAGTCTGTGATTTACATCTTTTAAAATAATACCGGCATCTCCACTGAGTTGTCTCCTTTTCGTTGTCCGCCTGACCTCCGACCACAACCCGCACAGACTCCCGCCTCTCCAGCCAACACCCTGGACCCCTCACAGGGCTTGCAGCCTCCCACGGAACTGTTTGCTCCCTTCAATCCTGCGTCTGTGCCCTCAGGTAAGACCTTGTTTACGTTCTGCTTAAATACAAGGCTGCCAAAAGCCAGTGGGTAACAAGCTCAGCGGGAGAGACATGAAGGCAAACTGGAGACTAAGAAGATTCAGATGCAGGGGGCATCTGAAGAAGAGAAGAAAAGGGGTTGTGCTGAAATAAATATAGAGCGATGGAGTAGAAGCGAAATGTAGACGAGAGAAAGAGGAGAAAAGGGGGCATTGGTTGTGTGTTGAATATGAAAAGCATTATTATCCCGCTGCCTCAGATGCTGCTGATTTACTTGTGGCTGAGCCAACTGCGTCAGACGGGGGGAAGTAATAAAACATGCCGCGATGATTGTAGTGAAGACTTCTTTGTGCACAGAGCTACTGTGTATTTAGAAATTGGTATAAAGGTTTTGCATCTCTTTATTCACTCCCCTCATCACCTCTGCTTGCCTCCTCTTTTCCGTTCTCTGTGCATGTGTCAGAGCGGCCAAGGTTAAATGTCAACTTTCCCCGCTGTAGTTAGCAAGCCGAGACTAGAACCAGGAGACTAGTGAGTGTGAAATACGAAACAGCTTTTACTGATGAGTCTGAGTGATTTTAATGAGTGTGTTGAGTTCTACCTTTTCATAATGACTCTGCCTCATTCTGGAGGTAATTATAATAGTTCACCATGACCATTAAGAGACACTGCATTAGCCGCGGGCAAAAGTAGGGCAGCACTCTCTGGTGATGCATATGCAGGTTTGTGTGTGGAAAAGCAGGCTATGCACTGTGGATATTCTAATCACTTTCTCTTTTGTCTTCTTCTCTTACTCTTTTAAAATGGCGCAGAAAAAAAAAATGAAATAACTTGTCTCAATCCACTCACAACCAGGTTATGTGACGATGGGAGCAGTACCTCCTGGCCACTGGTCCCAGCAGGCTTTTGCTGCCCAGACTCCGCTGGCCTTCGGGGTCCAATCTCCTCTAGGCCCGGTAGCCCAGGTGCTGCCAGGTGGCCAGCCTCTCATCTGGGGCCAGGCCAACATCTTCCCTGCCACCCAGCAGCAGTGGGCAGCCATGGCAGCAGGAGCCTTCCCCCCCACAGCCTACCTCCCAGCCCAGCCTGTGGGCACCCTGCCCGCCGCCATGTTCCAGACTCTCACCCCCGTCACGACTGTGACTCCAGCCGGCGAGAGCCATTCGAGCACCGGAGCCAGCGCTTCAGCTCCTTCCCCTTCAGCATCTTCGAGTCCACAGCATGGGGAGAGAGGAAAGAAGATGGGAAAGGAGATGTTCAAGGTGAGGAACTGATGAACACAGAGAAGATTTTTACAAATAGTCTTCATAGTCCCATTCAAAATAAAAACTAAATATTAGTTTTTGCTCCTTGAATAATTAATCACAGTTAATTTTCTAATTTAAGTATTTTGTTAGAGTTGCACTATATCTAGGACCAGTTTTTAATTGCTTGGGTAAGTCTGAAACAAGCCTTAGGGTGCAAAGAGTCATAAAAGTGGGACATGTAAGTACAAATGGACAGTCATACATATTTCGGTTGTATTTGATCATTTTAGCTATGTTGAGCAAATTAGTCTCATTTAACCCTTTAAAGCAGCGGTCTCCAACCTTTTTTGCGCCACGGACCGGTTTATGCCAGACAATATTTTCACGGACCGGCCTTTAATGTGTCGCGGATAAATACAACAAAATCAAACTAGTACCGGTACCGAAAAAAAGAAGATTTATTCATAACACACGTGAAAAGACCCAGGAAAAACCGAGTTAACGATCAAAACGATAACAAAATAACGCTGAAAACCGATAAAAACCCTGAAAACTATACATTTCACACCTGAGCCTCAACTCTCGCGGCCCGGTACCAAACGACTCACGGACCGATACCGGTCCGAGGCCCGGGGGTTGGGGACCGCTGCTTTAAAGGCTTCCAAAAAATTACATTTTTGGAAATACATTTTGGTTCACATAGTTAGGCCACATACAAACACATCAAAAATGCTCTTTTTCATTAGGTTTAGGATTCAACTAATCTGTAGTGTAAATACATACATATTCATATCAGAATTTTTCACTTGTAAAATCTCGTCTATGAGAGAACCTATTTCCCCAGTCCGGTGGTGTTTTCATCAATAAAAAGGCTGCAAAACAGGCAGTGATTTGTACAGTAACCTGAAACAAAGGTCACTAATTGATTGGCCACACTTTCAATGTTAACCTTGCTGACCAGTCTCTGTCTTCCTTTAGGATTTCCAGCTGGCGAAGCCTCCGGCCATGCCTTCGAAGAAGGCTGATCAGCCCAGTTTAACAGGAACCTCAGAGGCGTTCAGCACTTACTTCAACCGTGTGGGCACTGCCCAGGACACAGATGACTGTGACGACTTTGACATTTCTCAGATGAATCTGACACCGGTCACCTCCACAACACCATCCACCAACTCCCGTGAGCGCTCTCTCCGTGCCTGTCTGTGCTGTGTAACACGCTTTTTCTCTTATCACCATCCAGCGTGTAGTTACGCCTTAATTGTTCTGTCCTCCTCTGCAGCACCCACCCCAGCTCCCAGGCAGAGCTCTCCCTCAAAATCCTCAGCCTCTCACGTCAGTGACCCCCCCACCGACGCCACAGACCCCCCCACGGACGACTCATTTGGCGAGGCGGAGGGCAGTCCCAGTCGCAGTGGAGAGGAAGATGCTGTAAGTGTGGTGTGGTTTGGTGTGTGAGAAATTTTTGGAGTAAGCCAAGTGTGTGCGCCTTTTTAATAAGTCACTTCTTATGCTGCAATAACCTGCACAGCTTGTTGAGATCTGCTGATAAATAGCCTTTGTGGCCGTGTTGGCGGGCCAGGTAATCACTCTCGCTGATTAGGGGGCCGACGCTGTTGTGTCCTTTAGTGTGAGAGTGTGTGTTGGTGTTTGTGTCAGTGCATATGAAAATGTGCACGTCCAGTGTGGGTTAAAAATGAGCAGTAGCATTCATGAGTATTGGGTTGAGTGTGTGCATGGTCAACACAGCGTTAAATTAGCTGGTGAAATTGTCAGAGACATCATTAAGCTGTTATTAATACCAGCAAGGTAGCATCCATACATCACTACTTCTATGTGGACAGACTCATCTGTGGTGAGATATAGGAAGCGTAGTGCCCCAATTCTTCTTCCAGGGGCAATTAATATTTATTTTACCTGTAGCACCTTAATCTGGGGCAGAAAAATGGGTGAAATTAAGGAGGAGTGAAAAGATGGAGAGAAAATAGAAAGATAAAACGAAAGAAAATGGGGAACGGAAGGATAGAACGTCAGATTCTTAGGGAGTGCCTTTGACCAAAGTCCTTGTAGAATCTGTGACCTTCTAAGAAGCAAGACTTTTCCAGTTCTTTCCCTGCCATTTTCTTCCTGTCTTCCAATTACTCTTTTTTTGTTTCTTTCAAGCTTGCTTCTCTCCTCCCTCTCGTCCTTCACTCCCCAGGCGTGAAACATTAGTTTTATGCCTCCAATCCAGCTATTATTGAAAAAATAGAGGACTTTCACACTGCTGAAAATGTCACCAGCCCTGAATAACACACAGAAGCTTTGACCAACCCAAAGACATGTGCATTGGTGGCGGCACTGAGTGAGTGCGGCGAAAAGGTTACAACAAAAAAAAAAAAAGCGAGAGGACTGGAAAGATGGAGCAAACGCAGAAAAACAACCTCCCACCCTTTTGTGGGTTGAGGTGCAAAAAGCAGAAGTGTTTTAGGGAAAAAAGCAGTGGATCAATAGAAGTAACTCCACAAAGGTTTTTATAACACACCACTGTAAATGAGTGCATGTTTACTGTTTGTGTGTATTTGCAAAGAAGTTTCTATAAAAAGAAAAGCTGTGATGGGCTGTGGTTTTCTACTCTAAGTGTCTGTGTTTCTCCTTTAGAGCATTAACAGCTTTACTCTTTGCTTCCTGTTTGCTCTGTTCTTGTAGTTTATCAATCAAGCCTTCTGTCCTTCAGATTTATTCTTCTCTGTCTGTTTTCCCTTTATTTCCTTCTTATACTCTTCCATGGACCTTCCTTTCCACCCTTTCCTCTTCCTTCCTTTCCGTCTTCCACTCTTTAGGCGTGTGGTTCTGGGTCGCCCTGCCCCAGCGAGACAGCAGAGCCCAGCCCAGATCAGGCCAGTCCAGAGGCTGGGAGCTAGATAGCAGCAGGGCAAGGTAGGTATCAATACCTCTCCTTCCCCTCTTGACTCCTTCAACTCTCTGCATGTATCTCTTCTTCTCATTTACTGTTGCACCTCCCTTACATAAGTGTGTTGCATCTTTCTGTTTTTCTTTTTTTGCATCAGTGGTTACATTTTCACTGTTTTACCTGTTTTCATTGCCTCGTTGACACAAGTTCAAAGGATGGCACACGTGTGGTTTGGTTTTAATGCTTTATCATGTGTGGGAATTTTTTTGTTTTGTAAGTATCTGTTGATGATGAAGGTGTTGTGCATGTGTGACCTTTTGGAAACAGTGTGTGACAAGTTCATCACGCAACATCACTTTGGCCATAGTGCTCTCATTATGTTCTGTCATTCTGATGTGCACCTAAATCACGCTCAGTTCTCTAAATAGCACACGTCTCACTTGGAAATTCAATAGCGTGTGACAGCCAATCAGAAACTGTGCACTTCAGTGAGCAGGATGTCTTTTGGGATTTGTGTGCAATATGCTGATCTCAGTTGTTTGGCTTAATTTGATCAGGATGTACGCTCACATTTTATGCATTATATACAGTGTGCAATGTCACTTAAGCACCAGGCACCAATGTTAAACGTTGAGCGATATAGACAGGCAGTCAGTGATGACGGGCATGTTTTCACACTTTTTGCACTTTGTTCTACAGTGAAATTCACAACTTTCATAAGCTTGAACGTTCTATGAGAAGCATGTCAATATGCGGTTTGCCTATTCAATGACACACAAACACACACACACACTCCAAGAAAAAGAGCCATTTTGATCCCTGCCTCCCTACCCGGTGTCCTCTCCCACACAATTCCCGACTGTGGCTCCTTAATGATAGCTGCTGGCACTCACACCAGAAAAAAAAAAGTGATGGTTTTGTTTTCATCAGCTAATACTGGAGCGCCAAGATTAATGACTGCCCCGATATAATTGGCATTAATTAAAACCCAAGGAGCCTTCAAGTCCTTCCCCACTCCGGGAGAGGAGGAGGGGGGCAAAGCAGCTTCCCTCCCCTGTTGGCCTTGCTCCTCATTCAGACGCTATGAAAGCTGCGTGGCAGCAGGTGGATGTGGCACTTAAGTGCGAGAACGAATTTTAGAGTACTGAGCAGGAAATCTGGTTATGATCTGGCAGTTATGGCCAGAAGCTTCGAGTCTGTCCTCTGTAGTAGGTGGACTGCTTTGGTCCTGGTCCAATTACGCTGTTCCCATATGGTGTTTACTTGCTCAATCACATCGGCTTTAGACATCTTCCCAAACACACACACCTGTGCAGTAGTCCCGGCTATTCCCTGGACAAGCACACCTGTGATCGATACTGTCGCCACCTGTGCTCATATTGGAGCCAAAAATATGCGCGTGCTTGTGTGAGTGTGTTGCTGCTGGCCACGACCGCCTGTCCTGTCCTCCCCCTCCCACTGCGTGTCTCCGACAGACATGTGTTCAGGCTAGTGGGAGTGTAAGTGTTTTTTCTGGGGTGATTTCATCATGTCCAGTGAACGCTCCCGAGTCTCAGCCATGAAATGGCCTGCTTCCACGGTTCACCGACCAATCTCACATTGCTCCCCCTGCCGAGGGCCTACCACACGCATGCACATAAATGTCCACACATGTACCAGCCAGGTCGGATATTCTGGCCTCGAGGCTGCTGCCACGCCAGCAAATCACTCATACCTCCACCGAGGACTTGTACTCGCTCTCTCGGCTGGGGATGAAGGAGCTGAAGCCGCCTCAGATGGCAGTGCCTGTTAGATGATGCAGGGTGACACCGCTGGGCTGTGGCTCTGGTGCATTGGCTGAGCAGTATGTGCTTGCTGTCACTGCTTGTCTCAGCCTCTTTGTCACCTTTCTCAGGGCTGCTGGCAGCTACTTTCTGCTGACTGTCTGGCCTTGGCCAGCCCTGCAGTTACAGCTTTGTATGCCAAAGACCAAAGCCTTAACTAAAGCAGCCCTCCCAGCATCAACCCAAGTATTCTTTTTTTTAGATGAAAGCTGTTGCAGATTGTGCATTATGTAAGTTTAAGCACAATTAGAAGTGAGAGCTTCAATCATTCGTTGCTTATCTATAAAATGTCAAACAGCATATTCAAAAAAAACAAAAACATAATGGTTTTCCAGAGCCCAGTTTAACATATTTTAATGACTTTTTTTTTTTATCTAGCTGAGCCTCCAAAACAGAACAGCCCAACGTTGAGTCATACTGTGACAGAGACGCACCTAACTACGAGCAGTTTGCTCAACTAAACCTTCGTCTAATAGGGGAGCTGTGGGCAGACCCCAAACTCTAAATGAGTTCTCTGCTCTGGAGAAGTCTCCCAGAATATAATAGGAAAGTCAGTAGCCTCCAATCAAGTTGTCTGCATGGCAGATTGAGTGGCTGGCTATAATTATGTGTACAATAATAACGACCCCATTGTGAGTGACTGCAGCAGGGTTGGTGCTTTGACTGCAGGGTGTTCCATCATCCACTGTTGTCTTCCAGCTCAGCTGGAGAGAAATGCAGACATGATGACTCATAACTGGTTTTTCAAGGCACTACCTCTCATTCTTGCTGGTCCTGGAGGGAGTTTGAGGTGGGAGAAAATGTGCATTTACATGGACACTGTGATAACAACACACAAACACGCATGCAGGCACGCGCACACAAATGGCTTTGAGAGTGATGGACCTATGAACGGCCTAAGAGGTAAGAGGAAAAGTGACCGAAGGTCTCCTTCAATGCAGTGTGCTACTGCCACCTGGTGGTGATGTTAGTTATAGGAACTTGCAAACCACTGCAAAACTAGAGCTAACTTGTCAGGGCTTGCAGGTTGGTGATACTTGCAGTTCAGTCAGTTGAGAGAATGAATCACAAATCCGGGCACTCCCTTTTTATTATGTAACACTCAGATGAAACACAGAGGCCAGACACTGACATTACAGATATAGCAAGCCTTTGAAAAAAAACAAAGGAAAGTAAAAATGTGGTAATTTTTTTTTTCTTTCATCGACAGAAGAGGAAGGACCCTCTCTATGCCCAGATTAACAAAGGGAAGAAATAAAGAGACACACAGGAAGACAGACCTGACCAGCACTGAGAGAACAGGAGGAGAACCCTTAACCTCTGTTTGTGTGAGTGCGTGTGTGCGTGCATGTCTGGCACATCCCCGCCTGGCCAAGCCCTTCTTCTTCTCCTTCAGCTAACAACCTCCCAGGAGGAGCTTCCACACTCCCACAGTCCTCCTCCTCCTCCTGTCTGCAGTCTTTCCTCCTCCTGAGAGGGGAGAGCCCTCTTGGTCATTCACTCCAGGCAGGAAGGGATATCAATCACTGAGACGGATCCAGTTCTCCCGCCACTGCGCAGTCTTCTCCTCTCCTCTCCTCCCTTCTCCCTGTGGCGACTCACACCCAGCCTTACAGATAGAACCTGCTCCTCCCCTCTCTGCCCCCCCCTCCATTCCCTTCCTCCTCCTTTGCTCTCTTTCCTCTGCCTCCTGTGTCTGGCCAGAGACTGTGCTGCCAAGAAGGGACTGAATCATGCAGTGCCTCCCCGTCTCTGACACTCCCTCACACACGCACGCTCATCGGGATTAGAACGATCACCTTTTGTTTTAATGGACAGAATCTGCATCTGTAGCGAGGAGATCCCATAGGAGGAGCTAGACTATTAACGGGCCTATCAGGGATGGCCCGTTACTGGGATCACTGCTTCTGATTGCTTGGCTGGTTCGGGGAGTTTAACCCCATCCTTGTGAGTGTCTGCTGGATCACTATGCAGAAACAGACTCTCTGGGAGCTACTCACACACCAACGACATACATCTTGCACACAGGAATCAGCTTGCATACTCTCACACATGCAAACACATACACACAGTCCACCTTCTCTGACATGCGTACACGCAGTAATTTGCCAAACGTCTCTCCTCGCAGACAGACTCATACAGAGGCCAGAGGACCAGACATGCTGAAGAAAAGACACTGAGAGGGAAGTGTTGCAAGTTAAACAGATTCTGTGATTGAACTGTTCATTCTCTATAGCTTTTGTACAATACTGATTAAAAAAAGAAGAAGAAATTGAAAAATTTGAATTTTTATTTTATAAGTCAATCAAGCCGCTGGGGTCAGCTCTATAGGAGATATAGAGTCAACATGGCTTTAAGGCATCTGATCGTTGGTTTGCCAAACTCATTTTGTAAATAATGATAACAACCATTTTGTCCACTGGACTTCTGTGCCATAAAATAGGAAGGCTTCAGTTATGCAACTCTTGACGTTAACCCAAGCAATACCAACATATGTTTTCTTTCTCCTGTTGTCCGTTTCATTCGCCTCACCCCCCTCTTTTGTGCATAGATGTTGTGAACCATTAATTACTCTGGTTCCAGCCCTAAAGCCTGCACCGTGCCCTGCTGTGTCTTCTTGAGTTCCCACCCAAAATCACTATATTGAGCTTTTGTATCACAAGACTATCATTTTTATGTTGCAGGCAACAGTCAGGGTCTCACTCACTCACCGTAGCCCAGACTGCTCCTCTCCTCCATCCCATTCTCCCAGACTAGTCTCAAAGATAACAGCGATGCTCTGCCCATCTGTCTGTCTGTTGGTCAGGTGCCAAACTGCTGCTGTCTGAGTGTGGACTGCAGCATCCTCTGCTACAACTACATCAACTGTGATGCCAATGACTCCCTATTTTATGGCCAGAGTCCCCATATCATTCGAGAACTCTTTTGGACTATGAAGCTGATTAACTTTAAAACTTTGAGAACTAGATGATGAGCAAAGACGTTGAATTAAAAAGGGAAACGTTGCCGTTTGAGTACATAACATTTCTAGACCTATTTTAACTTTACCTCAGCTAACAGTTTCTTAATGTAAATTGACACATTATTTTTATCTTTATGAATATGACATTCTACAGTGGGTTTTTAGATGATTTTTTTGGTTCTATCTTGATTTACGTATTCCACCATGTATTACTGTTACAAATAAACACATCCCAAATGACTAATACGTGTGTTTATGCCTCTGCTTTTGTGTGCGAGCAAGAAAGAGTGAGCCTAATGGTGTGTGCCTAGCAGAGGTGACCCCCCCACCGCCACCGCCACCACCTCCACCATCACACCACAGCATTTTGCAATAATTTAACACTGCTTTAATGACCTGCCACATTCTGCTACACTCTATTGCAAGCTGTCATAAGCTTTATTAGCAAGCAACCGCAAAACAAGAACTCTAACCTTCCTACTCTTGTTCTGTTTCTCACTTTCTACCCACAGAAAGGGTTCAGACACGAGTACACCCTTAATGCACCGTTCTGTAAATTCAATTGAACTACAACTTTACACATTTTAAATGAACCATTTTACACACAAAAATGCTGTCACTGTGCTATTTGGTTGTGGGATTAGTTTCGATTTGAAGTGACAGGTATTTGAGATGCTTATCTGTAGGATTTCTGACACCTATAACCTGTGAATGCAGGCGAATGGAATTTTCTTGTTATTCTTTAACCATTAAAAAATTATATCTGACAGCTTTTGTCTTCCCTCAAACAGTGTCCTGGGTACTCTATAATCTATAAACCCTACTGTGTGCAGCTTTTTTGAGAACATTTCACCTGTGAAAGCTGTCAAAACTGACATCTGCAAATTGTCCAAGATGAGCAGCAGACTGTGCTGGAAAGATGAGCAGCAGACTGTGCTGGAAAGATGAGCAGCAGTTTGACCATCTTTATGTATTTTTCAAGAGAAGCACCACAGCTATAGTCTTCTCCATAGAAACCAAAAAGTTGCAGACATGTTTAAAGGCAGATGCTGCAGGTTAATAATAAACAAAAAACTGAACACCATCAAGACAACTGTTTTGAGCCTTATCTTTAACTATCAAATGTATCAGCTATCTAAATATCTTCTAATTTGCCTTTTTGAAATTTGTACACTGGATGAAGCCAGTTTAAAGTTTGCATATCAGTGTGAAATGTCTTGATGCATTCTCAATCATCCAGGAGATCAGTGTGAAATGTTTTTACAGATCTGATTTTGAGTAGCTCATTTTTTCTACTTGAGAAAATTTTGTCAACAGATAAGATAAGATTTTCAACATGCTTCTAGGAATAGAATGCACCATGAATCACATACTCAAAGTTCTTTGAATGAAGGATGCGGTAAAAACCTTCCACATACAGATGGTAAAAGCTTAGATCTTTCCCTGAAAAAAAAAAGAAATGGCATTAAAAGGTATCCAATGTAAAATTGCAAAAACAAAAATCGTTTTTAGTTTACAAGATCACCTACAATCATTCAATTCTTCTGTAATGCAAATTTTCTGGAATGTTTTATTTAAATATGCAAATACGATCAGCTTAAACATGCACCAGTTATAATACATTTCAAAGGACAAGGCCGCAAAATAAAGACTTCATTCTGTTATTTATAGAATGAAGAATATTATTTATCCACTAGATTGAGCATGCTATGTACACCAAACAACTTGAAATCTACACTCATTGACCACTTCTTTAATTAAACCTGTTCAACTAATAGTTAACACACAGAGCTAATCAGGGACATTGTATAAGCTGACTCCTTTTAGACACGTAGACGTGATCAAGATGACCTGAAGTTCAAAAAAAGCATCTGAAAGGAAGAAAGATGATTTAAGTGAACGTGGCAAACTGCTGCTCTACAGGGATTTTACCCCCCACAACAATCTCTAGGGTTTACAGAGCAATGGCCCAAAAAGGAGAAAATATCCAGTAAGTGAAATGCCTTGTTGATCAGAGGAGAATGGCCAGACTGCTTTGAGCTAAAAGGAAAAGAACATAACTCCCTTTACAACCAGGGTATGCAGAGGAGCATCCCTGAACACACTGCACCTTGAAACACTACAGCAGTAGTGGCACCACGTGCAGGAAATTTAGGCTACATCACCAAAGTTGGACAATGGATGATTGAAAAAACATTCCCTGGACTGATGAGTCTGGATTTCTGCAACAACAAACAGCATCAAAAATAGATTTCTCCTGCCTTGCAACAACAGTTCGGGGCAGTGTTGGTATAATGGTGTGTGGGATATCTCAAAAACTTTGGGTTCTTTAGTACAAACTCAGCATTGTTTAAAAACTACAGTACAATCTGAGTACTGTTGCTGTCCAACCCTTTATGACCACACTGTGCCCACCTTCTGACGGCTGCTCCCATTAGGAATGCACCATGTCACGAACCTCAAATCATCTCAAAGTGGTTTCTTAAATAGAATCAGAATCACAAAGGGTTTTATTGCCAAATGTTGAGCAGGTTTACAACATTAGGAAATTGCTGCAGTACTTAGTGCAAACATACTGTCATATAACGCTTAAATAGACATGAAAATAAAAATAAGAATAAGAATTAAAAGTGCTAAGTAGATAGATATATACATGAGTGTAGGTGGTGATCAGTGCCAAACATGGAATGATGCAGTGAACACAGCGTAGGGTCATGTTAGCCTCCAAATAGCCTCTAAAGTCACCACATCTCAGTCCAATAGAGCAACTGTGTGATTTCAGCGGTCATGCTGGTAAGGACCAAAATCTCTGATGAAAGTTTCCCGCACTTTTGTTGAATCTGTGAGAATTAAGGCCGATCTGAAGACAAAAAGAGATCCTCCTTAGTACGAGTAAAGTGTACCTAATGAAGTGACCGGTGAGTGTACACAACTTGGTAGAGAGTAAAGCGTATGAGAGACTATAGTCTGCTACAGTTACAAAGCTGCCAAATAAAGACAACGCTTACAGAATGTATTTATGTCACATTATAAATGCGTAATTTAATACTTCTGTACGCTCTGTAACGAACCTAGAATGATGACACATTTCTTCGGTCATCTCATTTGAATGATTCGTTTAGGCGACAGTTAATAAATCAAAGATTAAACTTTTATACCACATCCTCTCATAACAGCAAAATACACTGTTCTTATAAGAGAGATTAGCATTCTTAAAAAAAAAAAGAGTCACTTTGAAAATAAACACAAAAAAATCTCCATCAGCTTGGTTTCATGAGAGTGACTCACGTCGTGCCAGCCGGGCAACATTCCTGAAGAAGAGGGAGAAAAATCCAAGAGCTGTTGACAGTCATCGTACTGTGGCGTAAAATGCTCAGCAGGACTAGTTTGACGAGCCCGACTGTTTTTTACTCAATCGCACTCCTCCTCTGAAACCATCTCGGGTGCGCATGGGACGCAGATTTGTCTCGATCAGAGGTGAAGCACGCAGCCTGGAACAGCGAATACACTATTTAAAGTTTCTTTCTTCCTTTTTTATTTTAAATTAATTTTTTTGTTTTTTTTCCCCAACGGACACAGGATGAGAAACTGAATAAGAGAACGATCTCTATTCATAAAGGAGCTTTTTTGTCGTTTCTGTGGATATTAAAACGCGCAATGGAACAGGTATGTCCCATGACGCTCGTAACATTATGATGATTGGATAATATTAAGCTATTGATATATTTAAAGTTGTGTTAGCAGACATAAATCCTGGTAATACTGTAAACTGACATTTGGGGAAAAATGATCAAAGCTTACAACAACATTAAGTAAAGTGAGACAGAGTTTTAGCTCTGTACGCTGTAACGTTGTTACTGCTATGATGACGTCATTTATCTTACCGGATTAAGACCAGAACTAAACTCCTCTTAATAATAAGTGATTTGGAATTTTGTTCTTACTCCAAATATGTTAGGGAATTTTTTTTTTTTACCTTATTTAGATCCTGTATTGAGACTATTGTACTGTGTGATACTTTCATCAGGAGGAACAGATTGACTTTCAGGCCATAAGGGCCAAGTTTCAACAAGAAGAATTCACACTGAAGAAACCCAAGATAAAACCTGTTCTCCCAGAGAAGCCAAAGGTGGTCTCTCCTCCCCAGAGCCCCAGTCATTACCTCCCTTCAGGTGCACGCCCCTCCCTGCTGACCTCCATTAATGAAAACTTGGAAAGAAACACACTATTTGCCCCAAGAGTGGTCTTCAAAGATGATCCGAAAGAGAGCAAAAAACCTCTCATCAACAATAAAGACAAAAGTGAAGGGAAACTGAAAGGTGGTAAGCACAAAGCAGTCAAAGGGAGCAGGGAGAATCTTATTAAAGATTCCGTGGATCAAAAGAAAGTTAATAAGAAAGACAAGACGCTTCCTTTGGTTGTCCCTTCAACTCAGATAGAGAGTACTGCAGAGCTGGTGCCAGCCGCACCTCCACCTAAAGTCACAACAGAGAAAAAGAAGCCTTTCAGTCTTTTCAAAAAGCCAAAACGAGATTCAGTGTTGATCTCAGCTGATCCAATTCTAGACACCCCAAGCTCAGATATTGCTGGACTAGCTCCACTCATCCCAGTGCCTTCTGAATCTGGTGGGGAAACAATACCTAATTCAACATCAGAGCCCTATCTACCAGACAGCCCCACCTTACCAGATCACAGTGCTGATGTAGAAATGACCCCAACCACTACTACTCTTGAATCTCTTGCCTTCAACCTACCTCCTCCTCTCATACCTGAGAGCCCACCACCTGAAATCCCAATCTTGACCAGTGAAATCCCACCTGAAATAGAAAATCCCACTTTGCCTGTTTCTAGCCAAGATGAAGCTATTACCAGTCCACCCAGTGTCTCTCCACCTCTTCCACCCAGCTGTGTCATCTCTGGTTCTCCTTCCCTGGTTTCTTCTCCATCTCCATCACCCCCCGAGCCTGAGATTACATCTGAGATTGGGAAAGATGTGCCTCCTGTGGAGAAACCTCCTTCTCCAACCACGAACCCTCCATCTGTTCCACCATCTCCCAAACCAGAGCGTCCAGTCTCAGCACTCTCTGCCCTGGAGAGGGCAGAGGATATGAGTCCTGGAAAAAAAACACCACCAGGTGACCAGAGGATTTTCAATGCTCTACAGAATGCACGCAAGAAGACCAACAGGTAAAGAACACAAACAGCAGGAACACACACAGTTTCATTCCAGCAGTTACGAAGAAACATCTCTGTTTACTGCTCAGTCACTAACAAGATGTAATTTCTTACCTGCTCCTAGCCCCTTGATATGTGACATGCCCTCCTATTCTGTTACCCCTCCACCTGAGGAATCCTCCCAGTGTCAGAGCCCCACTGAAAGTCTCCCAGAACTCCCACCCATTGATTATGAAGCTCGAACAGGCAATGCCGTCCCATCGAAACCAGCACAAGTTAATGGCATTGACCACCGTAAGTCCAATTAACATAACCACTGTAGAGCTCCCCTCCCCTCCCCTCTCTTCCCCACCTCTTACTTTCCCGTGGATTTATTTCACCTCAAAATAAGTTGAGAAGAATTTATCTCATCATCATCAGGTATGTGCTGTAGGCCTGCAAAACATAATTTAATAGCTTAGCTGCAGAAAATACCTGGCCACAGGGTCGCCTCAGGTGGTGACATTCTTCTTTTGTGCCAGAAACAACTTAGCAGAAGGCAGGGCAGAGCTGCAGAGGTATGTTTGCTATGTCAGAGGTGCAGTGACAAACAGTTCAATGTCTGTTAAGCACAGTGCAGGAAGAGCAGGAAGTCTCTGTTTAATTTGCATTGCATTTTTTGAAATTGTGCATACAGGTATTTATGTCAAGCTCATTTAATATGATGAAGTCTACTGCTACAAATTACAGATGAGTACCTTTGTCATGGTTTCTAATCTTTTATTCTGCAACAGCAAACAGTTTTGTGCAGCTTCAAAAGGCAGCTAGCGGGCAAGTTTCTAAAGATGTGTTTTGTATTGTAATTAAAGTAGCAAAATTGAATTATACTGCACATTTCTTATAAATGCATTAGCACTGCTCTACAGAGTTATACAAGAACAACTTCCACAGTGGGTTTGACCGGTTTTATTTCCTTACATATGCAATTCTTATTCTTTTCTTGCCCTATCTCTATTTCTGTGTTGGAAAATTCACTTTCAGATGGAGTTTTGATGTTGAATGGTTCTTTTTGACTTGAATGAGATTACAGTTCAAAATATTTTAGCAATCATATCTAGTCATAACCTTCTAAAGTGTTATATGTTCATATGTAATGTCATTCCTTCCAGGACAGCCCTCTCCATTGTTGCAAGACATCACTGAGGGACCTGACCCTGTCCCAAAGCTGCTGGCGATTCCCCCGCCTCCACCCGAGATGACTATTTCAGATAATGGGCCTCTGAATTCTTCTGTAGAGGAACCTGCCATACTTAACTCTGCCAACTTGAGTGAATTCATTCCTCCACCTGTCATGGAAGTTAATGGTGTGGTCACCAGTGCTAGACTCACAATTTAGAGAAAAGCTAAACTTCAGTGGCCTCTTCTTGTAATGCGTCATAATCCTTCATGCCTCTTCTGCAGATATCCCTGCTCCACTTGAGTTTTCAGAGACCTACACCCCTGATGTCCCAGAGGTTGACAATGTGGCTTCAGGCGTTCCTATTCCCGAGCTGCAGGGATCAGAGTTGGAGTATGAGATGTACCCAGCTGCAGATGTTCCAGACGGTTATGACCCGCCAAAGGTTCACAGTAATGGGATAACTGTTCCGCAAACCGAGATCCACACAGAGACACCATATGGAGACATATCCCAAAATAATCCACCACCAGAATCATCTCATGCTCTCGGTCAGGACTTACAACAGGCGTCAGAGTAAGACATGCAAATTTAATCTATTTTATTTCTCATTAAAATGGCTCTTAATCCCTGACAAGTTGGTATTCATTAGTGTTTGGACAACTTTTTGTCCCACGCAGGCCCCAACCAGAAGACGATGTTTATCAGAACACAGAAAATGCGTACGAGTATATCGCCACACCTGATGGTGACAAGAAAAAAGTCAAGACTAAAGTCAAGAAACGCAAAGAGCCAAAGAGTAAGAAACTATTTATACTAGAAAAATAGGATTTGTGCTAAAATGAATACAGTAATATTAGAAACTGCCTGGAACGGTTGCATCTTTGGTATTGTACATAACTGTGTCCTTTTTAAACCACAGATCCATATGTTGAGTCAATGCCAGTAACGGTAAGCTGCGGTGTAAAATCAAGACTTTATTTGTCTTCATTTAAAAAGATAAGCTTTCTTTATGCAATTTTTAATTCAAAGTTAATTAATCCACATTCTTTATTCTTACTTATAGGTTCAAGAGAAAACCAAGACGTTGAGGTTTGGCAAGTAAGGCCTAATTTATTTTATTCAGAGATTTTTTAATTTCCCTTATCCCCGGGGAATTAGTGATGAGAGTTTAATTTGCTCTTGTTTAGCTTATATTCTCCTCTGCTATTAACCAGTAGTTTTTTTCTAACTGGATGATCCTCTTCATTCTGCCTTCCTCAGGAGTGAAAAGAAAGCAGCTGCAGAGGGGCCTGATGAGAAGGAGCTGAAAAAGAAAGAAAAGCAGCGGCTAGAAAAGGAGAAGAAGGAGCTAAAGGAGAAACAAGAACGGGAAAAGAAAGAACAGAAAGAGAGGGAAAAGAGGGAGAACGAGATGAGGAAGAAATTCAAGGTAAGCGAACACGGAAGGTTAAGAAACATCGGGGGAGGGTGGGGTATATGTTCGGGCACACAAACCTGTCTGGATTCATTCCTGGCAGTGGAAGAGTTGAAGTGAGCAACATGTGCAAGCACAAACAGAATACGAGCAAACATTTGTTTTGTCTGTGATATTTCTGACAGAACACCTATGGGCCATTCTTTATTTCTGCATATCCTTCTACAATATTATTGTTCTGAACATGTTCTGATTAATGTTTGTGTTGTAGCAGAAACTGTGTTGTAGTAATTAACATAGGGATGAACCCAAAAAAGATGCAAAAACTCTAAAAATGCGGTTTTGTGTCTACTTTAGCTCTCTGTTTTCTTTTTTTTTTTTAACACAACAGGCAGCTGGCTTTACCAGAAACACAAAAAATGCAGTAAATGCTAGCAGCCCAGTTAATATCATTAAGTGTAAAACCCCAGGATTACAAGATTAATGTCATATTTGTCACACGCTGTAAGTACTGTACATGTAAGAAGCACGTCAACATTTATTATGTCACCATGTGCTGCTTCTTTGCTCTATTCCTCTATTGATAAAACACAGACAGTTTTAATAATCATATCAATTCAAAGCCTGGTGCCTCTCCTGCTGATGCTTTGACAGTCTTACAGCTCAGCTGTGGTAAATATCATACATCTGGCAACTAAATGGTTTGATATGTCAAACCTTTTTTTGTGATTAGTGCGAAATGGTTACCTTGCTGAGATTGTGTTCCTATGTAATTCTCAGTGGAACTACTTTGATTTTAAATCTTACCCATGTCCCCCCTGGACTTATGTCCCTTTTGAAACAGTGCTTTTTCCTAATATAGACAGTATTGTTGTGCAGTATAAAATCTTTTAATCTACTGGGACAAAGTAATTGACAGAATTCATTCTTCAGCCTCATGTGCAAGACTCTCCCTTATTCAGTTTAAGACGGTATACAGATTACACTTCTCAACATCTAGACTATCTAAAATATACCCCAGCATACCTGACCTGTGCAACAGATGCAACACCTCCCCCTGTGATTTAACTCATATGTTTTTTGCCTGCCCGTCACTTCAATTATACTGGACTTTTTACTCTGAAGTGCTCTCTCATGTTTTGAGCGTTACTCTTAAACCATGTCCACTAGTTGCCATTTTTGGTGTTTCTGAGGACGCCACCCTGAACCTTAGTCGTAAGCAACTGGATATTATCGCTTTCACTTCACTGCTGGCACGGCGTCGAATTTTGCTGTCTTGGAAAGCTCCTCACCCTCCAGCCCGATCACGTTGGCTGGAAGATGTTATGTTCTTTTTAAAAATGGAGAAAATAAAATTTAGACTCAGAGGAAATGTTAATAAGTTCTCACAGATGTGGCAGCCTTTTATCATTTACTTTAGCTCATTGAAAACACTTACAACAGACTAAACTTTTGTACCACAGGGTTCCCTTTTGTTATGGTTTTGGGAGGGAGTTGATTTTTTTAATTTGTTTTTTTTGTTTGTTTGTTTTTTGTTGTTGTTTTCTGTGCGTGGGTTGTTGTTTTTTTGTTTTTCTTCCTTTTTTCCTTTCTTTTTTCTGTTTTATTGTTATCATCCGAATTTTAATGGCCTAATTTGTTTTGATATATGTCTTTATATCGGTTGGTACTTGCTGTATTGGGCCTGATATGTCAAATTACATGTGCAAAACTTTATAAATAAAGAGGTAAAAAAAATAAAATAAAAAAAAATCTTTTAATCTGCCTTTTGCAAATAGTTCCAGGTCCTATCTGCAAAAGGCAGTCTACCTCTAATTGTACTTGTATCATCAGTAATATGCCGCCCATTGACAATCATGAAATCATCATCCTCATTCCTCATCCTTTCATAACTAGACTGTGCATTGTGGAGAAATTTAGATAGGGTTGTTGCCTTTGCAGAAGACATGAAAATATTCTCCGATCAATGAGGGAGAAAGAGAAAGAGAGGAGTTAGATAAAAACAACAACAACAACAACCCCGAAATCAGATGATGGAATTCAAGTAAACCATCACCTGTGTCAGTAAAACAGCAGTTATACTTGCTATGGGGAGCTTCTGTGTAACTGACAGTGAGATCTGTGTAAAATCTCGCTCAGCAGACTTTTTGACAAACAAACAAAACCACATCTTGTACCGATGTGGTTTGAAAACTGCGAGCATACAAGACGTTGCTCTACAGATCTGTATTTTGTGTGTGTGTATGTGTTCCTTTTGCAAAAATGTGATCACAGGAGTGAGACAGAGAAGGTTGTTTCTAGCTTTCTCCAAAAATCCTTGATCAAATTATATTGGGCCTCCACAGGGCAGTTAGATGGCAGTCTTGTCACTCAAATACCTTCAGATCAGCAAATGCAAGTCTGTTGGCTTTGAGAAAGATGCCTTTGTAAAAATAAAATACACATTTCTTACTTATCAGGAACAAAATCACATCTCGAGAGTAAGAACTGTGATCATAACAGCAGGTTAAAGATAAACTGCTCCTCCCACTCTGACACTTAATAAGTCTACTATAGGTCTGTAAATTCTGACTGTTAAAATGAAGAGTAACAGCATGCATCAGGCAAATGGGAGTCATCTCAGTGTTTCTGCACAACAACAAACTATTTGTCAGGAGACTGCTCTTTAATAGCATAAATTACACGATTAGCCCACCATCCAGCTAGTGAACACATGTATTTGTTTGTGGTATAAAGCCTCTTGTGGTGTTGTTTTCAAAAGTGCTACATGAATATTGTTTATTGAGGTTATTTGTGTGCAAGTGGAGGAATATTCAGTGTTAACATGTAACTGTGTTTGTTAGATCACAGGACAGGAGGATGCCCTTTACCAGGCAAGAGTAGTTGTAACTGCAAAGGGACGAAAGACTGATCTCCCTGTCAAAGCAGGAGACACAATCAGCATTATTCGAACAGCAAACTGCCCCAAAGGAAAGTGGCTGGCCAGAGACAGCAGCAACAGCTGTGAGTTAAAAAAAAAACAAGACAATCAAGATTAAAACCTGTTTTTGAAACATAAGTGCTATAATCTGAAATGACATCTGAAATGAATGAATAACGACCATGTGAATGTGTTTTTAGATGGGTATGTCGCAGTTGATCACGTGGAGCTGGACATCAAGGAGATGTTAGAGCTGGGAAGGAAAACTGTTCCCAGGTCAAACAATAACTTTATCGAACCAGACGGTACCCGCATGATTTCACAGTAAGAGCTTCATACAATAACAAGCTATCATGTGTAACCTTCTACTACTGTTATTACCTTTAAGTTAAAAAGTTATTTACAGATGATTTTTATTTCCCCCAGTGACTCAAACCATTATCAATTACCAGGAGAAAGCTGTAAGTGTTTCCCGTTTTCACCCAAGATAACAAAATACAGTGAAATTATTCAACAGCAGTTTAATATTTTTGATGTTGACATGCTCAGTCACAGACGACAGTGAGGAGTGGAGCGGTGATGATGATGAACCTCCCTCTGGTTCTCCAAGTACACAGGCTGTACTGTGAGTAAATGCTCAATTATGCTCTATTTTTGGTGTTTACTGCTTGTTTCTATTGAGGACAAGAGTTAAGGTGATCAATCTGCTATTAACATTTTTTTGGCGTTTTTTTTTCCCCCTGCAGAGGTCATACCCGGACATTCTCCATGCCAGATGTGGGTAAGACATCCCAACTTAGGCAGCACCATTCCCAACTCTGTTCTTCCCCAGTCAGCTCTTGTGAAAAAACAAGTTGGGAAGATCTTTAATTGTTTACTGGAAACATACATTAAACAAAGCATAATGAATCACTTAGTGAATGACTCACTTAAAAGTCACCTTTCAGTACACAACAAAAATAAATGGGACACTTGTGTTTGTCATGCTGATTTCCTCAATTTGTTATCTTGATGTGGGTTAACAGATACAGTAAACAAAGATACTACAGATATTTTGCAGCAGCTGTTTCAGAGAAACACAGAAAGGCTTATGTGAGGTTGCAACACAACTGCGAGTGTGTGAGCGCCCTCAGTATAAAAAACGCCAATCTGGCAAAAAACACTCAATCTGAGTCCATAAACAAGTCCTTGAGGTCCATCTTTTTTTCCATCTTCTCTTCAACAGTGAATGGGGATGTCAGAACTTCTACACTGGACTAAATTTACTGATGTTCTGGATGTTGTATCAAGTTTCTATCCAATTATAATTTCTTCACAACTACCGAAATCACAAAACTGCACCCTTCTAAACTTCTTTAATGAACAATGGACTTTTCATTACGGCATTCTTTAAACGTTAATTCCCTGCAATGTGACTCATTAGACAAGCAGGTGCTTAAACAGGAAGCTGCTAGTAAAATATGTAATGGCTAATCTTAGGTCTGGTAACTTGGGAATTGTTTCCTTGGTGTAACTGTTGTATGTTCACTTGTATACAGTTATTTATCCGTCGCTTGTGTGATTTCGTCTTTAGGAAACAAAGACCTTAGCGTGAACCACCAGCACAGTCACAGCGACATGGGTCATGATAGCTCCCACAACCAGTGAGTTCACCCGTTTCACTCTTACAGAAACACATACAGACACGCGCAGACTCGTATAATTCTTTTTATTTCTCCTTATAGAGCACTTCAGAGGTTGTCGACATTTTTCCATTCACAAAAAAATGTAGAGCCAGCTGCAAGGTAGGCATGGTGGAGAAAAACGTAACAATGTTGTCAATCCATGAGCGTGCATGTACACACACATCAATTTTTGTTTTTGTTTTTAACAGCACCGATGAACCAGTAATGAGTAAGTAATGCCCTAAAAATCACATTTAAAAAGTCACTAATGTACTACTTTTTCAAACCTAATGCTGATGCACTTTCAGGCAATACACTTATGCTGGAAGAAGCACCTCATGTGTGATTTAAAAAAAACAAAACATTTATAAAGTATTATCATAAAGTCTTTATAAACTGACTTTTAAATTGCAATATCAATACATCTTCAGGTTACACTGCAGGTTCTGTGAATGCGGCACAAGAAGCAAATCACACGTAAGTACAGAAAGAATAACGCACACATGGAAAAATGTCAAACATGCTGTCCGACCTGTAGACGGACAGGGTTCCTTCCTTTTTGCCTGGAACAGCTTGATAAGCATGAAAAGAGTAAATGTCTTCTTTTTTTTTTAATCTCTGAGAGAAAGAAAGTTTTTAACTCCACCTTAACGCCACCAGGAAGTTAAGCCAGGTTGACTCCTGACAGAACAATGAGTTGTTAATTCTCAAGTAGGCCCCTCCTCTGTGCTTAGTGCAACAGACAGCATTTACATAACAAGAGCACTTAAAGAGAAGAGCACAGAAGAGTATGTTGCATATACTCAATATACCCAATATTTCTTATTTTAAAATATAAAGCTTTTACTGCTTTTTACATTTGGTGTGACCTTGACCTTGACCAGAATTTCACCAAAATAAAATAATCTCGAGCTGATTGAAATAGAACCGATTACATACTCCCTCCCTTCGAGGGAAGAATGAGTTACTGGGTTAAGAATATAAGGTGATAGATGAAAGACTGAGTTGTTTTCATGTTTTTTTTTCTACAGGCCTGAGGCTGTGTCAGCAGAAGATACAGATTTTGTTCCTGATACACTCATTTTACCTCCTCCTGTCATGTACGCCGATGGAGTGGAGTGAAGGTAAAGTGGCCTTCATACAACAAGGAAAGGATGAATCACCCGGACTCTTCACTGTCCATCACTGTGCACATGCCATGATGACATGATGTTTTTCTGTCTTAACAGCTGAACAGAAACTCCCCCAGGTGGAACTGCATTTGTCTGCAGCATTACCTGCTGGACTATGATCTTATTTATCCAATGACTGCATTCGTGAAGTAGAATTACATTTAACAACAATGAGAATTATATCATCTGGGCAAACGGAAATCTTTCTTCTGTTCTTTCAAATGCTGCAATGTGGAACCAGCATGGGACAGTTGATCTGCTTGCTTTTAAGTGATCACGGTGAACTGCGTTGCACAGACACACACAGTATTTGTGGACAATGTGATCCTGGAAACTCTCGTAGGAACAATGAACTGCTTTCTGTGCAAAAACCAGAATGGAAAATATATTTAAAGTGGAGGAAATAAGGGAAAGAACAACAGAATGGAAACAGCAGTTTTTCTTATCAGATGAAAGTGTGTGTAGCTAAGAAATACTGGAAAAAGCTTAATTTGTTTTAAGATGCATCCATTAAAAACAATTAACCAGCTGTAAGCAGCAAGTAATGTGAGCTAATACCAGTAACATTCCTGGTTTATGTTTATCTACAGTACTCCAGCCATTTAAAAACATTGTTTGTATTTTTTGCACATAAGCTTTTGCTAATTTGTCATTTGTACACTCATTATTTTTTTTCAGTGTCAACTGTGGTATGTGGAAGGGACTATGTAACTACTCATGCTACAATACATGTGACCTTTGAGTTTGACTTCTTTTTCACTGGACCCAAATAACCAGCATGCTGTGTAATATAATAGGTATAAATTATAGTATTTGCTCTGTATTGATCATAGCTGCAACTTCTAGAGGGATATCCATCAACTGAATTTTCTTTACTTTTTATAGAGCTTTTACCTGCTTCTGACACTAACAGTTCCCTATAAACAGATGAATAAGTATTATAGATAAACAACATGATGTGATGATTACTTGAGGTCATTTGCAACCGGCATTTGTAGTGGGTGTGAGCTTGTGTGACTCTATGAAATGTCTAAACCGACGAAGCACGTTAAGACGGAATTTTTTTTGTATGTTTATTTTTTTTCCAATAAATATTCATTAAAGTGCAAATCAATACAGCAATATCATGCAATGCATAACATGAGAAATCCAAACCCCAATCAGACAGAAAGACATATAGAGACAGTATCAACACGCACGCGTACAGGCAATCACAACAACCAGTGTGCACCCACATACCTAACAAACACACACACGCACACACACACACACACACACACACACACACGGTGGTATTTAGGGTTACACTGATCATAAGAACCCCACTACAGAAAATACTCACTTTGGTACAACATGTGAAATTTGTATTTAATTAGGCCCTTTAGCGTTTCTTCTGGCACTAAACACAAATGAGCTTACATGACTATCATGCCACTGGTATTTGCATACAGTTGTGATGGTAGACTACACCTGACAGTAAACACTGGTTATGTCAGAGGAGTTTTTAAATCTCACCCATGACTTCGGCTGGATAGTGCACTTCAATCATACATATTTTTGCAAGTGTTTTTTTAGGAGCATCAGTACCCGGAATTAAAGCATAAAGGCCCATATATTATATTGATGTGACTGAAGATGCTCACAATAGAGAAGTAATTTAAGACACAGCAATAGTGTAAAATAGATGGCTGACAAAGGCTGTGGACTAATGTTTACAAAGGTGTATATGCAGCAGCATATTGGAGCAGGGAACACAATTTCTCCCTGACAAAGAACAATGAGCAGTGTATGAGCTTACAGACAGAACAAATACACAGAACATGTAAATAAAGGGTTTCAGGGTAGCAGAAAGTGGCTTTCACTGGTTCAACCAGACCTCGGTCTACTACCGAGTAGAACCAGGTGAGAAAAGCGACCCGACACTGAGATATTGATCTGGGAAAGAGTGGTATTTGAATCCAATGTGAAACGAAAAGGCAGCACTTTTTAGGACATAGAAAAAAACGTGCATTTGTCTATGCTCATCTCACAGGGTTGACGTGCTGGAGAAGAAGTTCCATCACTTTATTTGGAAAGATTTCTGCAGATGTAATATTTTTCCCAGTGGCACCTTTATTCATCTTCAGTCGTTTCACTTATTTCGTTTTTTTACTGCACATATTCATATCAGTGTATATTTCTAAGTGCCGTATTTACACTTTTGTAAATCTCTGTGACGCCACTCTGCAGAACAGTAACTGCCTCAGTGCCACTGACATCTACGTCTTACTGCAAACAGTAGAAAGGCAACAGTCTAGTATCCCCCCTTCAAAACAGCAGGTTTAAAACCAGAAGAACATAGTGAGAGAAAGAGAGAAAAGGATTTATATCAGCAGCACCAGCATTCAATTTACATTCAGTAATAAATGATTTTGATATAATGTTATGCCTGACTATAGCAATACACAACATCACTATGGAAATCTGACAGGACGTTACAGAACGGTGGCGTGCATCAATAGCAACCAGCAACAACAGTTACGGTAAAGTTTGCAGTGCAGTAAACAGTAAGTGTGCAAACTGTCGGCCACAGCAAATGAGTTTTACAGTGCAGACTGAACAGACAGCAATGACTAATTGAAACAGATAACAGCTCAGACAGCTGCACCACGCCGAACCGTCATGGTTTGTCTCTCGCCACTCACTTTTCTGATTCTGTCAACTCTCTGACATCCCAAACATCACAATTATACTGAAGAGCCTTTCAACACACCAGTGTTAAGTCAGCGAAAATACACAACAAGTACCATACTTATGTGAGCTCACAAACACACACTTGTATGGAAAACTTCCACAACACACTCCATACCAATTAATGCGTTGCATTGTTTAAGGCAACTGTAGAAAAGTTCATGTGGCTTATACACTTGTGCAACAGATACACACCGTCTCACATCTATTTTTTGCCCTCCTCAGTGTCATTCTGTTTTGAAATTCAATGGCTTACTTAAGTATTTTAACAAGTTAGGAAAAAAAAAACTGGCCACAACAGCCAATAAAAATAGTTTTAAGATCTCACATTAAGCATCTGTCTCAATTTCTAAGGGGTATCTGCCTAATTTAAAAGCTTAACAATATAATAATAAAACAAAATGTTAGTTTTTACCTAAAACAGCTATAATGCCTGTCTTTATTCAGCTTACTACATATGTGACTGAACTGAACACCCCTATGATAACTAAGTGTCGACGTGTCTTCATTAGGGACTTGCATATAAAGGGATCTGTTGGGTGTGTTGCATATAAAACACTGCTTTAAATAGCAGGGTGATTGAATGCATTGAAATATATCTGGATATCCCCCCGAAAAAACCCCCAAACTCTTGTAAGATGGTCTGCATCTGACTTCAACACCATGCAGCACATACTCTGCGTCGTGCAGAGCATCATTCTACTATCCCGCTGTCTCAAAGAGCTTCGCTACTCATCTACAATCAATTCAAAATCAAGTAAAACTATGTTGAAGTAGTAATTAAATTAAAAAACTATAATGCCTAAAAAAACCTCTTAAAAATAAATATGGGTCTGACCGCTAAAATATAAATCTTAAAGATGTATAAAGTAATTTATTTGGTATTTCTCTGTCAAACTTTTCAGCTACATAATGATTGTAATATAAATATAATACAAGGATAACAAAATCTTCCTCATAAACAATATAAATAAAAAAAATAGAATTTTAATTTTGCGATCCTCTCTCTGACACGATTTAATGTGTCAGAGATGAGTTAAACGAGTTAAACGATGAGTTTAACAACTTTGCCTCAGTGAAGATTTAAGACCAGATGCAAAACTGACCTTTGATCGGTGGTACAGTGGGTGAAGGAAATTCAGCAGCTGATAATCAGCTGAAGATGTTTGTGGGAGAAGTGACAGTGAGCTTGAGCTTTGCTGAACTCTGACCACTCGCTTCTCACTTTACGGGCCTCCACTAGTTCATAGATTCCCCTCAGCTGCAGCCTGATGTGTAAGACATCAAGACTTTGACCCAATGACTGTCAAAACAAGAAATAATAACCCCCACTATTTCACCCCCTCATTCTCTCTCTCTTCACCCGAGGCGAATGCCACACCTGCCTTGCCATTTACATTTCCAATCGCTTCCCCCAATCCAGTAAAACAGAACAGTTGGAGAAGAGACAGAAAGAAGAAGTCACTCCAAACATCTACACTCCCTACATCCTCGATCTGTGATTAGCTTAAAAACCCCACTGACATCCAGGTTACAGAGCCGTAAGCAAGTCAGCAGGGCTCAGCGTGCTAGTGTAGTGATCAGACTGGCACACATTTCAAAGAAGTCCATGGTGTGTGATCCCTGACGTGGGGTGAGCAGATGGGAGCTACCAGACAGGGATCCCGGGAGAGAGGAGCTGAGCTGGGGCAGATCAATCGCTGGGGTTGCCGAGTCAATGCTCAGTCTGGGCCTGTGGAGACCGGCTGTGGAACCTGACCTCTGAGGAGTGGATGAGCCCGATTTAAAGCCCACTGCCTCGATGATGTCATCTAGAAGCACAGCAACAGCAAATGTTAGTAGTCATTCATAAAGTGACTACTACGTTAACTTTTGTTTTATTAAACTTTGTGAGAAATATCTGTGAGACAGTATACAAATCAGTCCAGCTATTTCAAACCTGTGCTAAATGCTAAAAGAGGATATTTAAAACAAAAGACACAAAGCTAATGGTACATGGTGCTGTCTTAAAAACGATGTCAATGCATTTTTTAAAGTAGTGGTCCTCTCTTCCTGAAGTGCAATTCTGTGCTAAAGCAAGTACAAGATGACTCATTCACCTGATTTGCATAACCATAAAAATATATATCTGTCATCTAAATAATAAAGTCATCTATCGGATGTATGAAGTTTCTTATACCCTTTTAAAATATTTTATTATATTATATTTTTTAAAATATTAAAATGACATGATATTAAATCTGTTAAAGAATTTTAAATATAGTTACGTATCCTCAGAAGAAGATTTAATCTCATTATTGACAAAAAGAGTTAATATTATATGCACAATCCAAGACCAGAAATCTCTGCAGTGGAGGATTTAAATGGTCTAAATGTAAATAATAGATCACAGACACCCATCTACTGAGCATCAAAGGCACCGGTGAGGTGAGGTGTCTACGCAGAAAGGATACTAAAAGACATCTTGCAAGTAATACATTAGTACCAACACACTTCAAAACTGGTTCTTTCCTCAGGCTGTAGGATTGCTGAACCCACTCACAACACTTTAACATGAAAAAATGAGCTTTTTCATAAAACAACTTTTTTCTTTTTTTTATGTTTTGTGACTACAGCTGCAATTTTCTTAGACAACCTTGTGAAGTGCAGTTCACGCCTTTATTCATTTCAGCTCAACTTTAGAATGACAAAATTAAGGACAAACATCAGCAGCTTTACACAAAGGCCACGCATGTTTTATGATTTGGAAAATGTTTATTTTCTTTTGGTTTTAAATTAGTTATGTATTGATTGTGACTAGATTGTGAAACCGGTTTAATGTGTTACTAACCATCAATGCTCTTGAAGTCAAGGAGGTAGGATCTGTTGTCCACTTGATAGAGCTGCAGGCTCATTTTCACCAAGTTGCCTGTCACTGGATTCTTCCTTCGAACTCGCAAATGGTATGGGTTCACCACCTGACACACACACACACACACGCAAAAAAGTAAGTCAATAAATATATAAATAAATATTTTAAAAAACAGCCAAAACAGAGACTCTCGTTTGTGTGGGGTTCTTTGCAGTGATGTGCTTTATAAGGGTATGTATAAGCACCTTCCAGTCAAAGTTTAGCTGCTTCATAGCTCTGTACACCTCAGCCATGATATCATAGGGTCTGCTCTGACTCCTGATACCCAGGTGCCACTTAGCCTTCTTCACTGCCAGCGGTTTAGGCCGAGTGGTGTTGAGAGCATCCAGAGGACAACGCGACTTTGGGCTGTCAGCCAAGAGCGGAGGCATCCTCTCTGGGTGAGGTTTAACTCCAGGGGGCAACGGCATTCCCTCCTCTATAAAGGAGCCCTGTGGAGGACTGGACGCCAAATAGAATTCACTAGCCTGGGTCATGATGCGCCTGTTATCTATGATGAGGTGATAGGCTACGGATAACTGATCCTGCGTAAACAGAAGGATGACGAAAAATAAAGTGAAACCAAGGAGATAATTCACTCCCAACAGACCATTATACTACTGAAACCTACAAACGTTGTTTACAGCTTTCATAATATATCAGGTTAAGTTTATCAAACATAGAAAACATGTACTAGAACAAAGACAATGAGCACCTGTGGGTCTCCACTGTACAGGCTGGTCACAACCTCAGATTCAGTGCATTCAAACTTTTCGCACACTTCCCTGACAGCCTCTTCGTCCAGAACAGTCGCATCATATGATGGATCCTCTGGGAAAAGGTAGCCTGGTAGGTCCTGCTTAAACCATTCATGTTCCCTATCAAAAAAACATCGATCAACTCAAGCGCTTCATCCCAAACTCAATACTGACATTATCAGACACGCAAGGTATGACTTTTAGCTTGCTTCAAGCTGGATTATCAAACAAACTGTAATAAAATAATCCTGTGCCACATTACAGAGCTAACAGTTATAAAAGAGTGGACAGGGAACTAAATATTTGACATATTGAGGAAAGAAGATAAAGCTATAACTTGAGTTATAAAGCTATGGCATTTTCTTTTGTGGCAACATTAGTTAAAGAACTCTTTTTTTAAAGAAAAAATGATATATGAAGAGAAACATACAGTATGATATTAATAAAAAAGTGTTAACAATATAGCTAAAGGAGGCCTCTGGATTCAAGACAGTGGGGTCAGTACCTGATGTCTTTGATGGTGGCTCTCTTCAAAGGATCCACCTGCAGCATGAGCATCAGCAACGAGGCCACAGAGCGGGTCAGATACTCTGGGATGTAAAAGACACCTCCTCTGATCTTCTTAAACAGTGTGGGGACATGCTCATCATCAAAGGGCAGGGTGCCACACAGCAGGGCATACAGAATCACACCACAGCTCCAGATGTCAACTTCTGGGCCTGCATAGAGTCTAACAGAGATTAAAGGATGTGACAGTTTAAAATAAAATAAAAAAAAAAAGCCAGATGCTTAACCACCAGAAACGCTTTTTTTCCACAGTGACTTATAGGTTAATGGTTAAACATAAATACAATTAGATGTTTATTTATGACTTATCCCATGAGGCAGTTAAAAAAATAGTTGGTTGTATGATCACACACAAAAAACAGACGCACAAACCTTCCTGAGATGACCTCTGGAGCTGCATAGTTGGGTGAGCCACAGCTAGTTCGTAGGAATTCTCCATCTGACATCATGTTTGACAGTCCTGTCGGACAATCCCAGTTAAATGGCAAGAAAACATTAATATCTCTCCGTCTTTGTTCTTACAGTAACAAGCATAACAACAACAAAGCATCTTAGTATGGAGATGAGCGACCAGCTGTCACCAGAACAGCTTCAGCTTTAGAACTCAAAAGCTCAAAAGCCTCAAAAGATATTTCATCATTTGGTGGAGATGGGGGTGGAGAGCAGTGAACCTATATCATTCTATCAGTTTTCTTAATTTCTAATAATGGACAGATATATTTTCTTCTTTCCATTCAACTTAGGGTTTCAAGGGAGTGAAACCTATCACTGTATATCTGTCGTGTCATCTGTCATGTCTGTGACAGAGTGCCAGTCCAGCACAGCGCTGGCACAACGAGAAAGACTAGTCATACTCACCCCTATGGCCAATTTAGAATCACAAATTAACCGACAATCGTGTCTTTGGAGGCAAAACTTCGCACAGAAAAACCCAAAACAGCACAGTATATGACTATGTTTTCCATCCACATGAATCCAGTCAGTGACCACTAATTGCCTATAAACAGGGTACTGTAATCCTTAAAGCGACCACTCTAGGAGTCAGGATAGAAATGTTTCATCCCAGGATGAAGTAATAAGGTGATCGCTCAGAACATTGCATTGATTTCTAGTGACCCTTTCCTCTAAAGGAACAGAAGGGCTCGTCAAACCCTGCCAGCAAAAAGATCCCAACAACACAACAGATCTCCAGAACCCCTCCTTGCACGGGTCAAGAGTTCAGGTTTTTCCCCATAATCTGTCACCTGTCTGCAGGTTAAATTTGAACATAGCCCAACAGGGACTTACACACTGCAGACACTATTGAGACCTTTATCCTTCTTTATTCTCCAAGACACTAAGCTCTAAACACAAAGCTCGTTTAATTGGATGAGTCTCTCTCTGCCTACCAGGGTCTCTGCCAAACATTAAACGTCAGACACTTTGTGTTGTGCTGACCTTCCCTTTATCTTTTATCCCTGGTCCCTTAACACTCCCTTGCTCTGCTTGCCAGTATTTTTTGCTCTCAGCCAAAACACTTCTCCTGCTGTACTCCACTGCCACACACCCCTTGATTCCTTCCCTATCAGATGACACTGGGCCTCAAGGCTTCCTGCCAAACTTGATATGAAACCTTGCCGTTGCTAAGGGATGTCTCTCCACCCCACACGCCCTGCTGCGCATAAGGGCCCTTGTGTGTTTTTGAAAATATTTCTCTCTTTCATGGTCATATTACATAAGGAATTTTAACTTAAATTGCAAAAATTAAGGCCTTAACTGATAAGAGGCATTCTCAAGTGAAATATTCCTTACCATTTAATAAAGCTAAAAGGTGCACAATTAGATTTCGCATTTTTCTTCAAGTTAACAACGTTACTGCATGTGTTGAATCCTAAACAGCTGTCACTTGGCTTTATTTAAACTATGTAATTTTACTCTGTCACCCTAAACAAACATCAGTATTTTATCTGTCCTCTTATCATGAATTTACAAAAAATTCTATTGTCAAGCTTGTTTTTATGTCTCCCCCTCTAGCTATAACTGTTTTCTTACCAAAGTCTGCTATCTTGGCATTCTTATTGGCATCCAATAGGACATTCTCAGGTTTGAGGTCTCTGTGAACCACCATGTGCCGGTGACAGTAGTCTACAGCTGAGATAATCTGCTGGAAAAGGCGGCGTGCTTCAGTGTCCTCCACCTGAAAGACACAAAATGAACGGACTTGACTGATCTGAGTGATGATGCTCCCTCTGATCTACAAGTATGCAACTGGGTCAGTTGCAACAGGACCCAACTTTAAAAACATTTCTAGCAGATTTTGTTGAGACAGTGCCAAAAAAGCACTAACATTTAGAGTTATTATGGAAAACATTCATTTACTGATTTATTAGAAATGGAAAACATTTCAGACTGTGTTTTCTACGCATGAAATTAATTTAAGATCAATATTAATTAGCCCATTTATCTCTTTCAAGTGCCCTTAATGACCTGAGGGAATAGCTAACTGCAAAAAGCTAGTGATTTTAAATAGTCTGGTTTTCTAAACTGTAGAATGCTGCCTACGGACTAGTTGATAATGGGCTTTAACACAAAAGGTAGTGACAACAGAGTTCATGAAAAGAGAAAGAAGCACAAAAAAGATCAAAAGATAAAAAAAACAGCAATAAAAGCAAAGACAGTGGACAGTTTCATTGCTTTTAACACTAGTTTCACTTCACTATAATGAGTGACCTTGGCTCGCTCTCCTTGGCAGAAGCAGGACTAAAGGACCAACAATAGCACAAACATGTACAAGAGTAGACGTAGTGCACATTCTGGATGTTTCTGACCCTGGCGACATAACCAGGTAGGACATGCAACGTTCTGCAAAGCTGTGTGTAGCTGATGTGTGGGACTAATGCATAACCATGCAGTCCATTAAGAGTCACGCTACTTCAATTTCAAAAGGTGACGTTCATAAACATCAATAGAAAACTATGAATGGCTTTACTAGACTTTACTAGGGCAGCTTTTCGTGACTCACAGTTCAAAATAAACCTTATTTATGTCATACTAGGCCTGTGGAACCTATCAGTTAATATGATGTCTGAAACAAGCCATTTTAGCCATCTTTACCCTCATTTTAAACCAACTTTCTTCTGAATGGCTGCCCCTCGTGAACGGAAAATCTAAGAAATGTGTTTTATGCTCACAGGTAGAGCGTTGTGCTCTAGAGACATCTGCTTTCATTGACACCCACAGAGCTAAGGGCAGAAAAAACTGCCTGAAATTAAATGTTTAGACGAATCTAAAGCATGAAACTTTGGCTCATAGGAATTACTTTCACATAAATCGACTTCATATAAGTTTTTGAAAGTTTGCCCATGTTTAACATGAGCATCCACTATTACAGTGTAATACGATGCAATGTATACATGACAAAACAAGGAGAGACGTTGTAAGTTGCACTTGAAAACAGTGCACATGTTTAGGAACATAGCTTAAATGTACATTATAAGTTAATTAAAATATAGATACCTACTCAAAATGACAGTAGTAAGAAGATATATTTAAAGCTAAAGCAAGACCATATAGTTTATAATATATATAATGTGAAGGATGTGGATTTAGTCAACACAAAGTTAAGTACAAATACACTCAGCTATTTTTAACAGCAAGTCTACTTGGATTACTGCACAACCCCAGGAAACAAACCATCGTCAGATTTTTGCTTGATATGTTTATCAAATATATGCAACAATTGCTTTTAAACTGTCAGAACTGTTTAACCAGTCAGGCTTCTGTTTAGTCAGCTAACCATGCCACTGGATAATAAAAGAATTTCTGATGATTCATTGACCACTGTACTCAGCCAGGCTGAAATCTACCAGCAAGATAATAGAAGAATGTCATCTTACCCGTCCATTCTTGCAGATGTAATCAAACAGCTCGCCTCCCGACACATACTCCATAACCATGAAAAAATCTGTCGGGGTGCTTATGACCTGGTACCTGACAACAACAACAACAACAACAACAAAATGTTGTATTACAATGAACTTTTAATACATTTATTAGTTGATTTCACCTTCTATCTTCTATTTTCACCTTTTATTCTCAAAAATTAAACATGTCCCTTTTTTAGGTAGACTAATTTTTAATCAAAATAACATTAAAATAATTAAAACTCTTGTACCTGACATAGTCAGTAATGGAATCGTTAATTAGAAATTACATGTTTTTAATTGAATTGCTTGAGAGGCGTATAGAGAGAAAAGCCACCTCAGCCAGCTCTGTCCAGTTTTTTGAGTATATCAGGAAAAGATTATGATGGGCAAAAGACATTAGCAGAAGGATATATGGCTTTTTCTTTGCAACTCTGCCTAAAAGGGAAGTCTCCGGGAGCTGCTTCTTCACTGCTGATCCCAGAAATAGTATTTTGTGGTTACCAATTAGTGAAGCTGCCAGTTTAGGACCCATGAGGTGTCTGTTTCTCAAAATAGAGTATCTGATGCATTTGTTTCCTTGCTCTGTGTTGCAGGCCTCTCATTCCACTTTCTATTCAGGTTCAAGTTTTTGTGGTTTTATGTAGGGGGTAGGACACACCTTCCTATGGCATCTTCAGTTTTCGCAATTTCCCACAAGGAATAGCATTCATTTCCCTGTTAAGATGACTTTCAAAATAAAAGTCACTTTTAAGTCTGTAATCGAGCAGGCAAGAGTTAATGTTCCAGTAACTCAGCTAACCAAATGAACTGTTTCTTTAATCAACACAGCTGTTATCAGATATGATATCATATTTGGAGAGGTTTCTTCTCATGATCATTTCTGTAACTTGTGCGACAGGACACAGGAGTCATTGTTGCTATTAAAAATCACCAGTCATTCATGACATTTCTGATTAATTTACTGGAAATAAGAACAAATGTGCTTTTCTTTCAAAACAAGGACACAGATGAGTGAACCCGAATGTCTAAACCTATATCGTCCTACATAAACAATACACAGCATTAGCACACAGAAACAAAGGCACAGCAAGGCTGTGATATTGGGTTGCTTTCATAAAGGTCAGGTATGTTAAATTGCAGGCACAATTTCATGAATGGTTGCCGGTGGTAGAATATAAACTTTATCACAATCTATTTCAATACTGTCAAGCTGGGTGAAGCCTAACACCAC